AAAGTGTATCTTTCACCTCCCTTACTCCATACCTCTCCATTTATTGTAGCCAAATTGGAATCCAAGCTCAAAACAATCATTCCAACTCCTAATCCAAATGATCATTAAATAGCCTAACCTACAATCATTCTTTAGAGAAGTACTCATTAGTTTCAACTTTTCACAATGAAATAACAAAACATGCATTAGAGTGATAATTTGTGATAAAATCCACTGCACCTTGTAAATTGGACTTCCACACAAACTAGCATGATGCATACATAAGAAGAAAATATGGAGAAAATCCAAAGATCAATCTAAACAAGAATCAAAAATCAACTTTATCATGATCAAAATTTTTCAATTCATCCAAAGCTCAAACTTGCCATCGTTTTACACTTAAAATAAGACATTGAATATTATTAGGGTCTCTAACATTAATCATCTTTAGCAATTTTATTAGATTTCATCTTCAACTAACTTAATTTTTTATTTCAAATGACATTATATTCTAAATTTTCACTTTAAATCATATCTCAAATTTTCATTCTATAGTTTCTATACGAATTAATCACTTTCAATCGCTTGATTTGTATAAATTTACAACAAAAAACCTAATAATTCAACTTAATAATTTTATCATCAAATTTATTATTATATTGCATTCTGGCCGCTTTATTCTAAAATTATTAATGTGTTTGTATGTAAATAGACTTCCAAGATCTTTTGAATTAATTATTGCATTTCATACTCATATTAATTTTTTTATTTACAAATGATCAAATGTCTACCAAAACAACTATGTCATTTCTTAGATTTTTATCATGTTTGAACTTTTCAAATAAGTAATATTATGCTCAGAACACTTTCATTGAATAAAGACTATCCAATTTTCATAAAAATCTTTCAACAGTCTAATATAGCACACATTATTATTCAGTCTCATGTATAAATCTTCTTATGAGTTTTCAACTGATATTTATATTACAACGATTCTTCACAAAAACATAAAATATCATCAAATATTGATTTCAAAGAATTTTTACTTAGATAATATATTTACAACATAAGTTGTAGCTCCACACTAAGACTGGAATAGTAATTGCAATCTTGCAATTTTGACTATGAACATATCATGCATTCAAAAATATTTCAAATTACTTTAAATATTGACTTTCAATAAAGTTAAAATCATAAACTTTCACATGATAATACTTGATTTTTTTTTAAATCTCAAAACATTTTTGAAATCATTCCAAAAAAAAACCGTCTAGTTGATAATTTCACTCTCTGTCTTTGAAATCTCATAAAATAGCTTCAACTTTTTCAAATTCTTTCATGTTTAAGAGTGTGTATATATTATTTTGTTAACTCTTTTAATTTTTCATATTGATCTTATCAAGTGCTCAAAACTGAACATCATAAAATCTCAAAAAAAGTGTCAAAACATCTTTTATTAATCTAAAACTTTCCATCATCAATGAGAGTTTTAAATGAATTTTCAATCCGAATGAAGTCCTCAATTATTTGAGCACTTTGCTAGTTTGGCATTTCCATTGACTTGAATGCTTAGTAATAGTGATAATTTTGAACACACACTTGCTAGGGTGCAAAGCTTTTTTGATTTGAACCAATGTCTAGTGGAAGCTTCTAATTTGATGATGCCAGAAAGGAACAAGAATTTCCATGTTAGAACCGGCTACATGACAGAGTAATAAACACCATTTAGACGGTAATCTAGTGTTAAACTCCAAAACAATTTCTTGACAACTATAGTTGTTGCACTTATATTATGCTTGCCTATTAAATATGTTTAACAACGATAATGAAAATACTCTGATCTAAATCAACAATGTGAATATATCTTCCAAGTTATACTTCAAATTCAATAAAACATAAAAAATTATCATATGTTGTAGCTCAAAAAAAAAATTTAATGTTTGCTCCAACTTGTTCCAAGTTTATACATTTTTAATCTAGAAGTATTTTCCTCTTCTATCTTTTGCAAAAAAAAAAAATTTGGATGAATTAACTCTTCTTTTGTGCAAAATTTAAAATGCAACATTCAAAAAATCATCACAAGTGCTAACATGATTAATGATACATGTCATCATCACATGCATTTATTACATGTTTTTAAATTCATCGCAACAAATGAAACTCATGAATAATTTAAATATCCAAAAAATACTCTCATAATGAAATTTTGTAAAACCTATAAAAAATCACTAAATCTTAAGATTTTTTTTTAAATACATGCATCAAAATAAACAAAGAAATTCAATTTGGATCGTGATAAACTGAAAATGTCATTTGAAAACACTAAACTTCAATTTTGGAGATGATTTTGTTTTCAAATTTGATAATCACAATGTGAATTACATATTGCAAATGCAACTTGAATATTTAACAAAATTCTCAAATCATTGAAACTTTTTGAAGATTTGAAAACATTCACACAAATCTTTGATTCAGATCTTAAATCCGGATTACATGTATATGCAATTTTGACATTATCTAATATGCTCTATATTTCTATTTCTACTCAAGCTACTTACATTTTTTGTGAAGTTCTTAAATTAAAAGCACATGAAAATACTAGAACACTTTATTCTACTTTTGTACTTAAAACTTTCAAAAACCAGATTTTAAACTTCAAACATTTTTGTTTGATATTTTTTCCAACATTTATTAATAGAAGCACTAAAAACTCAATACATTAGCAATAGTTACTTTCGTGAAAAATTATATTGTTACGAGGATAAGTAATTTTCACATCCAAATTTCAAATTGAAGACTGATTGAAAATCTATGAGATTGAACTTCAATTTGACTTTTTTGCTAGATCCTCAGCACAATATTTACTACATATATGCCAAAAGCTTGTAAATCTTTCAAAAAAAAACTATCCTCCATTCAATATTTTCAAAGACACACTCAAAGTTGCAGAAAACTCATAATTTTTTCCACAAAGTCTAATAAGTTTTGAGATTATTGTTTTCTATTTTAAATGTCTTCATAAAATATCATCACCGTATCATAAAAGAAAAAATCACCATCAAGTGAAACCCAATTATACTTCAAAGAGTTCAGAATATTTGCACTAGCTACTTTTTCCCTAGCGCTATTCTCTAATTTTCAATTTTTAATTCAATACTCATGATGTAACATTAGGTTTTAGAGAGAAATTCACTCGAAGATAGAAACGTAAACTTTGAAAATGAGATATTCAACAATGGTTCTCGTATCCCTTATATAGCTCTCACCAACAAGCACAAGGAGATAAGATCTTATCTCCACCATCCATCTCACTCCTAGTGGATGGATGACATGGCGGATAACCCTAACAAGTACACGGATTGATGACTTGGCGCTACCAACTAACACAGTCATTCCTTACCTACAAGCTCACGGATTGCTGATATGACACTGTCCACTAGCACATACACTCTCTACCTACCAAGCGCGCGATCGTTGACGTGGCAGTTATGACTAGTGCACGCTAAAGTATTTATATCAATATTTAGAGTAACTTCTACTTTAGTTCTAACTAACTAAAGATGGTTACACATTATCTCTAATACAAACTTCATATCTTGAAATTAAATTTTCATAACAACGTTATGAGACTCTTGCTTTCCAGAAACCTACATGCAATAGGTGCTGCTACACATAAATATCTACAAACTAAAATTGCTACTAAAATTGATCACAGTACTGCAAAACTAAACTTCAAAAGTTGTTGGGATTTATAATTGTAACTTCCACCCTTCTTAGTCGTGGATCTTACTTCATTTGTAGATTTCAGAGTTCATAATTGTTAGTGGAAGTAATGCATGCATTGTATGATCAAAGACAAAGCCAAGCTACGAGTGGCAATGAGGGAAGACTCAACCACTACTGAAGTGATACATTTAACACCAAAGAAGTATATGGTGAATGACGGTAAAATAAACAATGGCTGGGGTTTGTCTTGAATAGGAATATGATTTTGCATGTGGTCCAATTATATACATTATGAGTTGTTGATGGTACTTTTTGCTTTAATTATTGCGGTAGCTAGTGGCCTTCATATCCATTGAAACTCTATTCGTGTCTCTTACCTGCCTTGTAAAACTAGCAGAAATGTTAATGCAAGTGACTCTAAATGACGTAGATGCATGACTCATGCATGCTTTCGGGAAACTAACTTGTGATGACCCTACATAAGTACCTACATAGTGACATCCAACTGACTCTTGTAGTGAAGGGCATAGGATCACGAGAAAAATGCGAGTTAAAACCGGATAAAAGAGTTACTATTGTTCAAAACATGCTCTCAGGTGTTATTACATATTTATCAAGTGTACTCATAAGTGTATTAATCTTCACTGTCCACACATACGGTCGAATTTTCCATCAGTGGGGTCCCAAATTTCCCCACTTTTGAATCGAATTTGTGAAGTGTTTACTTGAAGACTCGAAGCAAACACCCAATTTACTCTTCGTTGCTTGTTTTACTCTTTTTCATCGATCGGACTCGTGATTACCAGAAATCCATGGAGTCTGAGTCTTCATACTTTCCGTACGTCTAGTCCGTAACATTTCTTCACTGTCATTTCTGATCCTAAGTAAGTTCAGGTCAATTTCTTCAGTCTCGTGTCAGGGTTCTTTTGAAACTGCCCTCGTAGAGAGTTCAGTCACCGTATATAGAAGTCCTTGTAGTCACATTTTCCACCTCTACGAAACAAGTATGGGCTTTCCCTGCACTCTTCATTGTAGACTTGGGATCTAACCACAGTTATTCCAGTTCTTTGTGGTTTAAGAGGAACTCTTGGACTAATACATGTACAGTCAAGTTCGCTCCTAGAATGTCCATCCAACTATCATCTTCTTTCCAAGCCGAGTCACAAACTGACTCGGCTTTGAACCAACCGTGTAAACAAACCTAAACAACGGTCGCACAAAAACGCCTAACACCAAGATTCTGGATTCGCACCGGATTTAGAGTGGACAATTTCCAGTAGTTTACTCAGAAAAGTACGCGGGTGCCGAGAAACATTAATTCAAAACTTGAAAAAGGCCAGTGGCTCTGATCGAGATATTTATACAATCCAAAACTCCAATACTTGATCGCAGTTTCGGTTTCCGTTAGGAGTATCACATGACTCTCGTATAACATGTTGTACAATGACGAACGATGCTAACAATATGTGGAAGGAAAAGTAGAAGTAAATTGTACAAGTTAGTCTTCACAAGGATTTCTACTCTGAAAATCCGAAAAGTTATGTCAGCTACGTAAAGACATCCTCCCTATCACCCTCGGCATGTTCCGTCTCCTCAATGTTGCTGAACTCCAAGAAGTGGGTAGGTCGATGGTCTTCATGGTAAAATTCTCTCGGTGTGGTGAGCTTGATGCCGTACTTCATGCCAAGTGAATGTTTCACACCCATGAAGTTGTAGTTCCACGGACCGTTGTCAGGTGCCTGGATTATTTTTCAGCAGACACGTGAGAATAAGTTTGGTGAAAAAAGTTCGAAAATCTGTAACATTCTGTTCAACGAGAAACAAAGGAAGGCTTCTGAGAAGATTCCAACTCACCATGTAAAAGCCCAGAAAGCGGTCGCTGAGGAGCATTTGAACCTTTTCGTAATGAGTTGGCAGGTAACCGTGAGGGTTGCTACCACTGTCCTTGTTTAGACGGCCCCACTCATAACCCGTTGGAGTTAGTTTGTAAGCAGTTAACGAGCAGGACCCGGGTGTGAAACTACACGTGAGGATAATACATTTTTCCCCGTCCCACTGCTTGTTATTCTCCAAGATCCTAGCGTGGCAGGTCAAATCCTGGGGAGATAACTGCGGTAGCTCGTTAGGTTGAGTGTGAAGCCAACCCAAAGGTTCCAAGTCGTTTAAGAACTCGTGCTCTGGTAGAGCAGACGGCAGATGCACTTGCTGATGAGTACCCCATTGTGGCGGCATCACAATGCAACGAATCTCCTTCACCTGAGGGTTGTCAGGAGGGCTAACACCATACATGTAGCCAGCAATCTGAGTCCGCAAGTCGGCGATACAAATAAACTTCTTCAGAATATTTTTCGGCATGATGTAGGTATATCCCGCTTCCTGCATAAACCAACGGCAGTAAGTTTCAAATACCAGGTGAATAATCTTCAATCTCAAACTAAAGATTTTGTTCTTAATCTCTTCATTAAGGACAGAACGCCAGCTCGACACTTATCATTCAAAGACGTAAGGAGATAAAAAAACGGCAAACATATATCTTCTGTGGCCACCCACCTTTATGTCATCAGAGTTGACGTAAATGTGATTAACACGCAGATAGAGATTAGTGGCTGAAATGGCCCTGACACGCCAGTCTGTTTTTGAGCCAAAGGCAGCTTGCTCATACGGACTTGTGGTGGTCACAATCAACTCGTCTCCATGGACATTCGTTGTCTTCGTTGTCACTGCCGTAAGCTGACTTGCTTCCTTAGCCTGCAGAAAGAGAGAAGTATAAATGTCCAGCTTATTCTATTGAAAAAAGCTCTAATTCTTCACAAGAAGATTAAGGTAGAACATACAGTAAAGCAGACATGCAAATCTCAGATGCGAGACCTTGCGCAGAACAATCTAGTTACCTGCTTCTCGATCTCAGCAATTTGTTGACGTTGTTGAGACGGTGGAGTAATTTCTGCACCGAGAATGATATCTCTGATCTCTGATTGGGTGAGGGCTGAGGTATTCACATTGTTCTTCTTTGCATAATCAGACAGAATCAGGTCTCTTAACGCAACTTCCACCTGCAGAAAAAGCGCTCACTCCAATGAGCACTATGGCAACAATTTGTGCAAAAACATCTTGAACCGTAAATAGTACAATGATATAGTAAATAAAAGCTAGAAGCTTTCATCATTTATCAGAATCAAATAAGAACAACTCTATACGGTTTAAGGGGAAAGAGTAGGAAAAAAAAATACGTTGTGCGCTTGGATTGCGCTCAGTACTCACTTTTGTCCACTGATCATCGCTGAGGTTGGGCCAGATATGGTGTGATTCGGTGATCACTGTTTTGTCTGGCTTCAAGAGCATCTTGGCTTTCTCATTATTCACATGAAGAGCACGGAGAATGAGAATGAGCCGCGAAAATGCTGTATATGATGAAATAGTTTTCAACCAATCATCGTAGATGTTGAAGAGGACCATCTGGGGTTCAGTGGCTTTCAAGATAAGGTCACCAAACTTCTCAATTTTCAGACAAGCTTGGAATGGCAGCTGAAGCTCGCTTCCCTTAATAACAATATTAGGAAAATCAAGCAAATGGACCTCCAGAGGATCAAGCATTCCCTTACGGGTGACAATAATCTGCTTCGGTTGCTCCTCAACAGGCAGGGACCGAACCAACGCTGCAACTTCCTCTGCTGTTTTCCACTTGGCTAACTGACCAAGACGTTTTTGTCCCGCCCAGACACTCGTGTGGATGACCTGTGTCACAAGAAGAAAACAGACATCATTGAATATAATTCATTGTATTTTGTAAGCATATAGAAATTCAAAACCTGAAGTTATGATTGTTTTTAACGGAACCTAACTTCAAAACTTTACGTAATCGGCAATGTAGTCCAACCGTTAAAACTTTCCAATTCAGTGGCTACAAAAGTTCGCTGACTCGATGTATTCAAAATACCTTCAAAAACAGCTGCCCCGTCCTTGGATTGAAGATGAAAATAGCTCCATTGATAGGTTTCGTAGTAAGATTTCCCTCGAATGTTTTGTGGATCGTAACTCGATACACGTTGGTGTCATCGACGAACCAAATAATCTGGTTACTAAACAGCTCCCCATAGTTTTGAGAAGACAAGTAAGGCTCTGTAGGTTCGGATGAGTAAAGCTGAAGTCCTTTCCTCACGCGTTCTCTTAAAACGTACAGTGCCGGATTTGCCTGCAAGGACAAATGGAAAATGAAAATCGCACAGTTAAAATTTGGAAAGTCCCAGCGTGTAACAGGAAAACTTACTATGAAGACAAGAGCTCTTGTTAAATTTCGAACCGACCTTCATGATCTTGTTAATTGCCTGGGCGAAGAGAGGCTTGGAACCCGGGAACCAATTTCCAAAAGCTGAATGCAGATTATACGCAAGATCCAGACCAATCATCACCCCTGTGAGAGACACCCGCAGGTTAAGGTTAAGATTTCATGATTCAAAAGAAACCAAATCCAAGTAAAGAACTGGTCAACAAGAAAACTTGATGTGGCATGATCCATTATAATACCTGTCGGGGCTGGATAAATTGACATATTGTCTGTGGTGTAATCAAGAAACTTCGCCCTCGTGTACCGCTCGATATCATGGGAATCGTAGTCACCCCATCGTAACTGGACATCTATCCAATATTTGTTACTGGCCTTTTGATCGAAAACATCTTTCGATTCAGCAACCAGGCTGGGCTTACTCATAGGCCACTTGTACGCAGCGAAGAGAAGGATGTCGGCACAAGAACTATTCATTTTATAACTCTTACGAGGATGAATTGTTTCCTTTTGCACAGTTTCAATCTCAAGGGCGTCGAGCTCCTGATCAAGAACTTGGCAAAGATCCATGACCACACTTTCGTGTACTTTCTGCCACAAATGAGCTCGGAAGATCTGGATGAGAGAAATTTTCAAAGTCGGAATCTTTCCGTGCATGAATATGCCGGTCAGATCCAATTGCACCTGAAAACCAACGTAAACATTGGCGCGATTTATCGTAGGTGACCACCACAGAGTGAAACGACGATTTGGAATTTGATTTAAACCAGATCGCTGTGCATTTGTTAGCTTCTTGTACTTCATCGATTCTTCGAAACCTGAAGCTTTCTCCCAAAAGAGTCCCTCCCATGTGGGGAAGCTGCAAACCAGTCAGCCAGGCCCACAATCAGAGAAGCACAGCAAATTTTCACAACTGCATCTGCTCTACAGAGATAGGAAATCGTGACTATTCACCTAGTTCAACTCATTGACTTGATTTCCCTTTGCGGAACGGTTAAAACTTACTAAGTTCCTTTGAACAACGTATGTTCCAAGATTCCTTCCACTCCTCCAAGAGCTTGTATGACATCAGTACGATAATTGTTCAGATTCCATAGCTTCCCGTCGTGTCGCTGGTGAGTCCACCAAAAAGGATTTTGCTTCAATACTTGGAACTGTTTAAAGTCAGTTCTTACACGCCATCCCTTGTCGTAAGCGAGCGTGTGTCGGTCCTTTTGAAACAAGGTATTGATTCGAGGAATACCTCTATCCCAAGAGTCCTGATGGAAGAAACGAAGAAGTTAGATGAGGCAAACATTTCAGGCTTTCTCCATGTAATTTATATCGGGATTCAACAAACTTCACTAACATACACAAATTACGAAACCTGACTTACCTCAAGATCCTCAAGTGTTAATCTGCGATTTTGCGCCTGGGCCTCTTGTCGCTTCAGTGCATACTCGGCCCAAACACGTTGAGAATCGATAAATTCGCTCTCCCAGGGCTGCACAAATAGCATGCAAAATTACGGCCGCAGGCAGAGGAGAAGGAAACGCCAACGCTATTTTGGCTTCACAGCTCACTAACAATAGATATCGTAGTACGGTTTATCTGGAGATGCCTTATTCAAAAATTAGAGACATCGACCAAACTAGGAAATACCATCCGATAAGAGGTCGGAAGACAGAAATTTGCTGTGATTTCCATGCCCATTGACTTCAAGGACACGTCGTATCTTTTTAAGTTTGACTTGCCTGCTATAGAATAGACAGAAAGGAGGCAAGTCCTGCGCGGACACTAAAATAAGACAACTGCATCATTAACCTCTTTCCATTCAGACTACACACCTGTATGTAACGGTAAAGATTTGGAATCAATTGTTCGTCCTCATGACTCATACCGCTCCGGAAGTGTGTCACTCCAACATCAGTCTGCTGACTGTACCTCAGATCACTTTGAGGTATCAAAATGTGACCCATAGAGAGCATACCCAACCCACCAATCTCCTTTGGCGTATAGAAGATGACAGGAGGAAACCTGCTGGGCATTTTGGAATTCAAACCAATCTTGATACGAGTCTGGATTTTGTTCTCGCACTTCACCAGTAAATCAAGTAGCTCCTGGGTGTGAACTGTCGCTTCACGAAAATAGGTCATAAGACCTGTCACATGCGACAACAAAGTAAATAAAAAATGAAGTTTACAACAACCCTTTTTTACGACCCCAAACACTCAACACTTCTCCCATCAAGGTTTCACTCTTCGGTAGTCAACTGCATATAGAGTGTTGTCAAGCTGTTCAATAGACGCATAAAGGGAACAATCCCTCCCTCAATGTCCGCATACCAATGAGAGCTGTATTCCACTTGTTCACAATCTTCGTGAAAGTTGTAGATCCTGACGACATGAGAATCTGACGAACACGATTCTCAAAAACTTTCATGTGTTCGTCATCGACACGCAAATATGCCATAGCCGTCCGTTCTTTGGTTTGCTCGTTTTGCAAGTTCCAAACTCCATCTTTACTCCCGAAAGCCTCCTGAGACATCCGCGACTTCGGGAGAATCCTAACCTCGAATCCACACCTTCATTGAAACCAAATAAAAACGTATAAGTAAAGAGAAAAGACGATAAGATTGAAGAGTACAGTAGAAACATATTCAAGACGTAAAAGTTAGATAAAACAACCCGATATCTGGAAGATTGAGGAAAGTACATGCTGAACAAAAGATTCGGGTTATCTTTGCTGTAGACAGACACGAAGCTGTTCTCCCACTCCAAAGTAGTAATACTTCGAGGTAGCCTGTTCTTTATATCCCAGAACACACTCCTCCCAAGATTCACTGCAAGCAGAGACAGTTGTACTCAGGTTAGAACTAGAAATTCGAAAACGAAATAACACGAAATAACAAAACGATTTGCATCCAGCTCAAGGTATCTAGTCCATAATTACATAGGTATAGTGTCTTACCATCATGCTTCATGAGTCTCATCCGAGCGTCTCTGGGCCAACACTTTTTATTGTTGTACCCGACTATGTTCTCATTGTTTGGATCAGGATGCTCCGTCAAGTATCGCTGGATCAAGTCCCTAGCCTCTTCGTGTGTAAAACGGAACAGAATGTGCACCTTATCAATATATCTTGAATACAACCTGATGGGATGTCGAGTTTCGACCTTAACGTCCCAAAAAGTTATGAACTCATTAGGCATTTGAGGTGGTCCAGCAATCTCACTAGCGCGTGTTAATCCCAAAACCAGAAGATCCAGGACTAGACCGTAGTATTGAACTACGAATGACGCAAATTGTAAACCCCGGAGAAGACCGTATGAGTTTGTGTGACTCATGTCCTTGTAGGAAAGGACAACGTTGTTCTTCGCGGTGACATAATCGGCAATATTATGATCAAGCACCAAACGAAGCAGCCTGTAAAACAGAACGTACACACCAGATCTCTCAATATTAGAAAGAATTGGACTAGAGCAAAACCAATCCATGAACTCCAGTATATAAGAATACTCAGACAAAAACAGTTCACCATGTGGATGTGCATATTGAACCTCAAATAATAACAAGTGGAGCACCTGTTCAGCATGGTAAGATCGATCTTATCGAAAAACTTCTCGAACTTCGTTTGCAGCATCACCACGCATTCACCTTCACTAGTGTCCCAAATGTCTTGCAGATTATTGATGCCTTGGCACCATTTGTAGACTAGTAAAGGGGGAGGTTCGGAGTCGGCAGGCTTTATCCAGTTGGGAAAGAGGTGTCTCTTGTCACCCTCGTACCACAGATACTGGTCCAGATAAGCATCTGTAATTTTCTCCAAGGGTTCGATTTCATACACTGGGATCAAATGACTGTAAAGATCCATGAACTCGATTCCCACCTGTGGATGGACAATTTGCAAATAAAGTTGACCTGAGTACAAAAGCTTTGAATAAGAGATAGAAAAAAAGTCTAGAGATGCATCCACCGCCAGATCTAAAACTAATAAATCCAGCTTAGTAAGTAAACTTCATACCTCCTTGAATGCACGCTGTGTAAGTAGATGTCTTTTAATTCGGGAGAGAGCTTCGTGAGGGTTATCATAAGCCTGCGGAGAGACAACATCCAGGTAAGAACTCTTGATTGAAGGAAAGAACAAGTCTACATTCTTATTTCAGAAGTCTGAGATTTCAACCTATATAAGGGCAATGGCAACAAGGATATCGACATTATCAAGGACCACATGAACAGCACCATAGATGTTTATATGGCATTCATCGAAGCGGGGTATTTTGTATCATTAAGCACCGACCTGTTCAATCAAACCAAGCTCTTCTCTTTGTTGTTGATTCAATCGAACCGCCACACTATATGACTCCTTCAATCTTTCCAAAGCAAGAATCAGGAGCTTGGTGTCATGCTTGTAAGACAAGGGTGGGAAAGGTATAGGGGAAAATTTTCGTGATTCCAGCCAATGAACGGTAGTCGTATAGATTGCAACTGCTTCCTCAGGTGTGACGTAAGGTCCATCCTTAAGATAATTATGCTGACGCTCCTGTGGAACATTCGCAAGTGTGTCAGAAGATATAGCCTGTCTACTAGAGCACAACAGCCATCAAATAAAGAAGAAAGCACGTTCATATACATCATTTGAGTTATTTAAGTTTCAACGGAAGATTTTATTTCAACCAATTGACTCAAACTCTCGATCCATCTAATTCTCCAAGAAACACGTAACATACGAGACACGAAATATGAAGGTGAAAGTTACCTGCTCAGCCTTCAACCACAATCTTGTTAACCTTCCAAGGTTCTTGCGACACACAGTCTTATCGACTGTCGCTCCACGGCGAATACGCTCACGGTTGTAATGTGCAACATTTGTCCACCAATCGGCCTTGGACTTGACATATCGGAGAATCATGTTTTCGATAGGAACGGGTAATCCTGGAACCTGCAGACAAAGTCATTTCAGGTTAACCTTTCAGCACAGAGCACGTTTCGTAACGAAAACAATTAACAATTAAGGGAATGGAGAAGAAAGAAAATTAGAGCTGATCCAATATGCACCTTCCAAGGGATGTTAGCTTTCCAGCATCGCCAAGCTTCGCTCAAATGCTGAAGAATAGTTCGAGCCTTATTTTGTTTGATTCCCTCTGCAGAATGGGATGAAGAAGTTAAAAACAAACATGAAGTCACATCACCCACAATTACAAGAAAATTCAGGATTGTTGTATAACTGTTATATCTGAGGTCAAAAGAAAAAAGCATACCTGGCATCGCATCAAGTACATCGTGCATAACAGCTGCTCTCAGCTCAAGATCAAAATGACTTTCAACCCGCTGCTTGGTAACTGTCTTCGCCACACCCTTCGAATGGCGACCCTCAAATTGTCGAGCAAGCAAATTCCCGAGCCACCTTTCCAACAAGGGAACTACACCACGCAGAAAGAAGAGCCATACTCTCCACATAGGGGCCCAGAACCCACAACCAGGACCTTTACCCACCGGACCAGTGTTAAACCGGTAATAGATGAGATGCTTCAAATCCTTACACATTCTTATTTGACGCATAAGTCTGTACTTGTAACGGTACATACCGGTGAGTTGCCCCACATGGGAAAATGTGTATTGTAGACCATCAGCTAACTGATAAGCATCCACGTTACCCAAACGAAACTGAATGTTTGCGTCAACAACCAGCTTCGTGAGACGCAAGATTTCACGGCACAGATGGAAAGCGTTTCCAAACCTTGACTTTTTTCGCTCCTTGGTCGTAAGTGTTTTAACTGGCTTCAAATTGAAATTATAATCGAGATGAAGATAGTTCAAATTCTTGCGATGGATCAACAGATTCAACATATTGTATCCCTGCTTGCAGACCTGCAGTCCAGCCTCGGCCCAGTCTAACTCTGTTGTTTGGAAAAACTTCGTGGCTCGAAGAGATCTGAACAGGTACTTCTTCTTCTGACCTTTGGGTGGTCTGTGGTGCAGCTCGTTCAACACAAAACATTTCAGAAGTTTCTGGTAGCTCACACGCACTTTGACTGGGTACGTTGGAGGGCTGCAAACCAACAGGTTTTACTTCATTAGTTGCCTACATAATACGGACGCAAAATGCACTAGGTGACCACCTAAGAGGGAACGTCCAACCATAAAGCAACAAATAAAAAGGGGAAAAGAGCAAACAACATCATTGTGTTGTCAAAATGATCTATTAGCTTACCAATGCTCCTTGTACCAGTCTGAGACAAGAGGGATATCCTGTGCACGTCGCATCCTTCCGGAACGCATATTAAAAGGGCGAGGAGCAAACAACAAGGCTATTCCTGCTGCAGTAGTGTCGGTGTACTGCGGTGTGTTCTGAAGTAGTGGTTCCACTCCATCTGGGAGAGTGAATGCATCAGCCTCATCTTCATCATCCTCAATTGTCTTCCTTTCTCGTCGATCGGTCTTGTAAAAGGCGATCGGATGTATCAAAGGATCAAAATAAAAAGCAGGTAGATCAGGGTCTTCTGTCTTTATGTACATGACCATGGGCGTGTGATAAATGCCCAATCTAACTTTGCGTGGTCTATTGTTGTACAAGTGAGGAAATGCGATCTTATACTCTGTCCTCAAAGGGGAACGTATGATCAACTTGTTGATATCATTGAACTCGTTCCAGTCTTCGTCTCCTTTCTCCATATCTCTGTAGAGAGGCTCAAACTTCGGACCTCCTGAAATCATCAAAAACAAATTAGCAAGTGCGCCTCCAGAGTCCTTGTCCTCGAAGTACACAAATTCGACATACTGAAGTACGATGCAACTACCTTAATTTCCAGGCAAGTATTCGACTCATCAACGTCTTGGGATAAGTGGACAAAAATTGTAAAAGAACGACATCGAAGTTCATAAGGTCAAAATTTGCACCTGGTATACACATATTGAGGGCTTTGGCAGTGAAGAAAGATTCCATGTCGAAAAGATAGAAATAGTTTCTATCTGTTAGATCACTAAGAAGCTGCCCTGCCAGTCGATGTAAGGCTGCCATGATAGGAAGCGATAAATGCCACCTCTTGTAGCTGGGACCATTGATCAACTTAGTCTTTACCAACGGCTTGTGGTCATAAAACCAGACGTACACAGCCGAATCTTCCTCCTCATCAAGCTCTAATTGAATGGGTTCTAAAGGGTCAACATCTAACAAATTGTCTGCATAATCTAGCGGGGGCTCCTCATCATCAAAAGGAGGAAAACGCATTCGCTTGAAATGTCTGCGATCCCTCTTTTCACGTCTCATCATGATCCACATTGTGCCCCACTGCATGAATGACAAAGCGGGTGAAGATAATTAAAACCTAGAAGATTGATACGACAATGAAAAGTAAAACACCTCGCTGATGGCAACGCGTGTGAAGATCAAGAGATAAACCAGTACCTGAGCCAAGAAAATGGGTTCCACCACCCATGGTATCTCATCAACAAACGTGATGGCACCTGTGATGTGATAGAGAACTCGAACGTTGCGAACCTGCGTACCACACGGCCCAAAGAAGTTCGTTATCCCCCAACTCTAGCTGCGTGCGATCACCGATGCGTGGGAGAAACAGTTAAAATTTTGAATGGAGATAAGGCGAAAAATTGAGTCGTGAGCCTGAGAGTTACCTGTTCCCAAGGCATTGGCATGTTCTCCAAAAGTTTGTAAACGGCATGCGGTACAAACTTAAGAGCACCAAGATAGACCCGCTTGTCATGGCGATACTTCTTGGATGACATATCCCCGTGGTCCCTGAAAAGCAAAAGTTGAGTTTTGACTACATCCGAAACAATAATGATATGCGAATCGAACATGCCCAGAGACTCACTGAATGCCTCAAAGCGTAGCAAGTCTGTTTCTACTCTACAGGAAGGTTAACCTTTTCCTTGAAAATTCAAAACAAACTAGACACTGTGATTCCAACCAACAGCAACAAATTTTTTTTAAAAAACGCGGAAGCTGTGAGTCGCTTCGTCGATACAATAATGTGAAACAGAAAATATCTCTGAAGTGCTGGCTTCTACTCTCACTCCCACCAAAATGCAAACTTCCTCGTACTTGTTTTAAAACAAATATATCAATCTCTCTTCCACCCATGAGATTTGCGCGTAAGCAGTTTCAGCAGTTTAGACATCGAGGTGTACACATTTCCAGAAACTCCACGATGAGTTCTTGACGGGGTTAACAGGGAAAACAATGCAGGAACATCATACTTTCGAGATGTAACGCAGATGACCAGACTCAACTATGCAATAAGGCGTACGGAAAGTATGATCCTGAATGCTGCTGAGCTGAACTAGCATTCCCCAAAATTGTAGACCTCCTTATTAATTGTTTTGAGGTTGATTAGGTTACATTCGCACTCACTATTCCACCAGTAACGTTCGTGCGTAAGCACTGTAAGCGTTCAAGACATCGGATGATGTACAAAATTCCAGAAGCTCGGCAAGGAGCTCAAATAATGTAAAAAAGGGGAATCGACACAGTGACAACAATATACTGAGTAGTCAAGAAAATGATCAAGGTTCGAAGGTGACTCTCCATAGATTTCTCCTTGCTGACTCTACTTCTCAAACTTGGCTTCCTGTCATGAGAAGCTCACCTGATGATTTTTCGAACGTGTTCCGGAGGCATATCCTCCTTCTGCGTTTCCACGAAGCCAAACTTCCGCTTCTCTCCATATCGTTTTGTGTTCAGCTGCATCCACTTGCGAGCTTTCTCCTCTAACCTTGCCTCGATATCTTGAGGCGTACCTGCTGGCACAGGAGCTGGAGCAGCAGGAGGTAGTGGTGGGGGAGGGATCGGGGTCGGGAGTGGAGCCATATGTGTTCCCGGAGGAACGGGCAAAGGCCCTCCCCGCATCATGTTGGACCACAATCCCCGTCAATTCGAGCCTCCTTTACTTCCGCACTGAAACAATCCCGAAGGAAAATTGACAGCCCCGTGTTCGCTCGCAAATCCGTGCTCCAATGTGTCTAAACCCTACTGCCAGACTCCCGTTCGCCACAACAAGTCATTCGAGCCCTGTCCGGCCTTCCCGCTGATCAACCCGGCCCTAACTCTCGAGGACACCTCGCAAACCTCCCTAAACCCCGAACTCAGGCTTTATACTGCGCGACATGTTCGCGACGAGGCGCACTGAGCTCGTCCGCATGTCGTTCGCCCTCCACCGCCATAGACATTTCGGTCTCCCTCGCAGGCGCGTTCGCTCGCAGCCTTCTTCGTCACTCAACCATGCCCTACAGCACTCCAGGCCTGCCTTCTCTAACCGGTGCTCGCCCCGCAAACCACATGGGTTGGTTCTTGGTTCCCTTCCGAGGTTTTCCGCCAACATGGTTGTGGCTATTCCGTCTTATCCCTGCGCTTGTGGTAAGATGGAATCGTGTTGTGATAAATATTTGTTGCGGTTCTTTTTGCTTCGTTTGGCTCCTCTACAATCAATCTCTCTCCTCGCATCGGTTCCAACGATTCGTCCAGCTTGTGACACGAGATCCCTGAGGTTTAGGTGGTGGATCCTCTGGATTCATCGTCAACGAGATCATCCTCACAAAAAGCGATGCACACCTCAACATCTCTGCCACGGGACCGGATCTGGAAAAAGTCCTGCATGTGTAAAACTCAACTCACAAATATAGAGCCCAGGGCTATTCCGGTAACCAAGTAATATAGCAAAAGGTTTGGCAATAGCTTCGCTTCATCATAAAATGTGGAGTGGGCTGTGCTATCCCTTGCAGTTAATTAGTATTATGTATTATATTTATTTTATCCCAAATTATTAAGCTACCAGTGAATATACGTTATGACTATATATCATGTATTGGCATCGTTTTAAAGAGTAAGGGTACCTATCTTTTTATATGGGCCGAGGATTGAGCGGCATCGACCAAGTTTATGGGTTGGCAAAGAGTAAGAAGTATTTATACTCTTCAAGATTGTCCAAGAGCATTACATATCATGTAACATAAGTTGGCAGTTTCTTCATATTATTGTGTTTTATTCAGAGTGTTTACCATATACAGTAGAAGCTGTCTAAGTTATTACTGCCGGTACCGGGGATCCCGTTTTAAATTAAACAAGAGTGTCAATAAAGTATTCTTTGTTTGTGTCATTTGTAATATTTGCCAGCCACATGGAATAACATCCACAACCACAATTGCAGTCACAACCAACACCACAATACAATGGTTTCAAAGATATCCACCAACACGAACATGACCAACGAGGTTTTGATAATTCTTTGTAACCACAAGACTAAGCATCCATCTCTCACTCAAGCAGATTTCATCAAGTGGCTTCAAGAAACTCATAACGTTTTGGTAAGTCAGGGAACGATTTTTATCATTAGTACTCCACAGGCAGTACCTGACATATATTTTATTGATAATCACTATGGAAAATTATTAACATTGTATTAATTATTACCTTTTGGAGATTTATCAATAAATGTATGGGGCTCGATTTGAGACATGATTGCAACTATTCATTATCAAATATTATTAATTTAGACAGGTTCTACTGTATAATGTAGAGTTTTGACGTTTCTATCTACAAGAGTTAGAATGTTATTGATGATGACTATGTGATTTGTACACTACTGCTATCTTCATAGTTTCGTTGTGTCTAATCATGAGTCTTACAATGAATCTATCTACATGTATATTTGATTTGAGCTTTATAGACTTTTTCAAATGTTTAGCTGATATACTCAACATTCATGATAATCAATCATACTAATAATAGTTCACTTAAAATATTTTGTTACATTTATCAATTGTGTTATAAGTGTTTTTCAAAGTGATTTCTATTCTACATGTTGTTTATGCAACTTACTTTACAATCATAGTAAAATACTATATTATTTACTACAAATGAATAAATTGAACAATGATATCATCTTATGTGCCAAAATGTATCATTATAATTTTCAAAAGTATATCAATTGAACATGTATCATTTATTTGTTCATTGATAAAAACATTGTCTTTAGATACTTAACTTGCATTCAAATGATAGCATTCAAATGACATACATACACTCAAATGCAACAGAAGAAATGGCTCTTTAATACTTGTTAATTCACAATCAAGCCATGCAATCATTTATATTCATCAGATTTGAATTGATGTAAAATACAACAAGAATAAGTATGTAGAGTACAATCTTATTATTGTTGCATACCTTGTATACATATTTTGTAAAGATCTCATTATGGTTCTATATAGCATATCTGACTACATATATTTACAAGATTTCAATGTCATGAAGATTTGTAAATGTTGAAGTTTAATTAATTTTTTATTGATTGATGTTGAATGTGATTATTTTTTTACTTTAGTTAAACTTTCCAATAGTTTACATATTTTGTAACATTATGATCCAACATCACAGTAGTATTTCAAGCTTCAACGTGTCAAAAAAATCATAATAGATTTTTTGTAAAATTCTCAACTTTGTTTCACAAGCTTGAAGCAATTTATATTTCAAATGATAAATCAAAAAAATCTGATATTTCAAACATTATTATTTGTTAAACATTTATGTTGGATTCAAAATAAATGATTGATATATTTGGAAGTAGTATTGAATCAAACTTTTGTCAAATTGTGATTGATTTTGTGCATACAAGCTTTCAAAATAATTTATTTGGTTTTTGAAAAAAGCTACAATTTGACAGATGTTTCATCCAAGATGATATTGAAAGTATAAAAATCATTGACTTTGAATGAAGCAACTTTATTAATAAAAACAAGTAGTGAATCGTGAAGATTAGACTTATAATCTCTTTAGAATTTTTTATAAGATATAAAAAAGTTGAAATGTTGTACAATATGTGTATTATATGATTTTTTTTATTCAAAAAATTTATCATTATCATAGATAATATTTTGTAAAATTAAAACACTTATTTGAGTGTTAAATCATATCCATAATAATTATTCACATTAAAAAAGCTATATGGGCAAACATTTTTCAAAATTTGAATTATATATATACATGCATCAATATGATTATGTTACATGGACATCCATGGATCAATGGAATCACTATATGAGATTGTCATTTAAATTAATCACATTTGTGCCACCAGAAGTCTTTATACGATGCATTTTAGCTTAAAGTATATAGTCTTAGATGAAAAAATTATAATCTTTGATACTCTACTCTATGTTTTCTGTGATTACACATAACATAACTTCATTATCATTAGTCATAATTGAAAAACAGTTTCTATCACTAATAACATCTTGGAAAATCAGCTACAAATATTTTCAATTTTCAAAAGTAATAACATATTAGTTGCAACTCTTGAACATTGTTAGCATAATTACAGTCAAGCATGTACATAATTTTAAGTTAAAATTATATGCGGAATAAAATGAAACCTAAATTTTCTAATTCACCTATCAAATTAGATCATGATTTTTTCTCTAGATAGTTCATCGTAATACTAATTATCGTTAGTTATGTTATTTGATTGATAGTTCATCGTAATACAACATTATGCACTAATCATGAAAGATTTATTATTAGCGTAATTAATCATGATCATGTATGAAATAAACGTCGAGTTTACATGTAAATTGACAACAGCAACACTATTGGTAGAACAATTTGATTCAATGATACCAAAATCTTTATAGGAAACAATTCGTATTGCAATGAATATTGTTGATCTCTTTGACACAAATTCAGATGTTGGTGCAACCCCAGTAATTGTGAACAATGTCAATATTATATATTGAAAGTGATCTTGTTACTTGCAATTTCAACACGCAAGACACAATGTTATTCTTGCACTCAATTGCACAGCTCATTTGCTCCTTGCAATTCTTGGACCAACAAAACTTCTAGCCAAGAAGATCCAAACATGTTTTTAATACAATGAAGTTCTATCTAGTGTCTTAAAAAAATCAACTTCTAATAGTGTAGATGATTTTCTCCACCGTTCTCAAAGATAAGCATGAACTCTAAGATAATTTGTTTATGTAAGGATTGTAAAGTTATGCATGCAAGAGTGTCACAAAAATTCTCAACCCAATTTTCACAAGAATAATCAAAACATATCGAACAAATGGATACACATTCCAACGATGAGCATTCATGATTCAACATTGCATACTATCAAAACAATAATGCTCACATTACTATTATAAATGAGTTCAAAGTATTATTATACAAACATCCACATCCAATTTTGTTTATGAACCTCAAAAATGTCATCTTTATACATTTTTATGTTATAACATATTGTCAAGATAAGAAATGTATAAAAAATTGAGTGTGTAGCGAAAATTTTAAATATCTCTTTATCAAGTTCCACCGATAGATTGTAAAATAATCACTCATAATCAACATTATGTTATAGAAACATTGAATTTGAACAAGTATATGTAAAATCTAAAAAGTATATTCAACACTTCTGAAGTTGCAAACGTGTGATGCACTAGTTAAGATATTATTACTTTCCGATGGGAAGAGTAGTCACTATGAACAAGTTTGATTTTACAAATGAGAAAACTACAACATGTTTACATTGCAATATTTGCCCTTAACTTGTTGGAGAATAAGAATCCGGAAGTATGCATTGTTGATGTTTTGCGTGCTTTGTGGCTGGAGGAAATATACGAGGGTAGAGATTTGTCCTTCTTCTAACTTAGTGAATGAAATTTCAACTTCCAGGCCCAGTAGCCATTATCAATCCGAATAGTACGGTACTAAGTTACCACCCGATGAGTACATTATCTTCACATCACGGAATAACTTGGGAAACCTTAGTCATGCTATAGACTAGCGCAAATGAGGATTCATTGTTTCTCAACATCATATTAATTACAATCCCACAATGAGATCGATGTCCTAGACCCCTGTAAATTTTCCGACACACATTTACTTTGTCTTCTCCACATGCAGGGACATTTTGAGCTAAAACAATTGGCATATATCAACATCATTGATGACAAGAGCTGGGCTCATCAATCCACAGCACGAACTAAACTTCCGTTTTCTTCACAAAGCTGCACATGCGCACTTTCTCAACTGCTGGCTCTCAATATCGAGTCCAGATTTCTCGTTCGGAGTCAGAATATTATCAACACATACGGTCATGATACTCATCTCGGCCTGGTAATTTTTCAGGCATCCGAAGAAATGGGATATGAGCTTATACAAGCTAATTACACCTGGTAGCTTGTGTTAACATTCTATCAATAACTCAATTTCACTCAAAATTATTGAACTACCAACGGCTAAATGTAACTCCTACTTGTAACTAAGATCCGATAGTTGATTATCAAATGTTCTCGTAAACAAGAGGCCCACATTTATAACCAACTACAATGTATGTGATACAATAGATTAAATCTAGCTTTTGATTCATCCACTTCGTAAAAAGATGGTGGAGTCATTCATAATGTGGCAACAGTGTCATTCATGATGTGGATGAGATGCTTTCCAAGGATGGCGTTTCAAATACCATCTAGCGTGTATTTGTAAACTCAAACCAATGACGATTTTCAAGAGGAACAGAGCAGCATATGTACCGCCGCCTAAAAGCATCATAACGGGCCATTTCCACCAAAAGGGTCCTTCGGGGATGCATGACGCATACACAGGAAACAGGATTCTCATCACCTACACAACGTACGTTAAGTTTTTAAACCTCAACATTGGAACTTGCTTACAAAACTTTATAAAATTATTAAAAACTCCTCGACATAATTCTGTCAAGAGTTCTAACTTACAACAATGATAAGATTGACATTCAAAACTGAAAAGTCGATCATCAACAAAAACACAAGAATAAATACGTTCGGTAATGAACATTTCATCTACGAACGTGGACTTACATACCACGCACGCAGGTGCAAGAGGAACGAAGGCCATAGTCTTGTGAACTTCATGAGACTGACTGCTCAAAGTCTGCACATCAGGATTTCCGTTCAAGTGCAAGTTAATCGAAAGTGTATTAGGAGAAAATTTGCTTCGAAGCTTCAAACAAACTCTTTGTCTGTACTAGTTATGATTATTTATTACCTGCGTGCAGAGCGCCTGCAGAAACTGAGAGTAAGTGGCCGGTTTCACTTCATTGAACTTTGCAAGAAATGAGTGCTTGATGACATCCACTATCATTTCACAAAAGAACACCATGCCTGCATTCTGCAGATCAAAACAGCCTTCCATTAAACTGAGGGGAGAGTGGAGAATTCGTCAAGAAACCAACGAATAACAACTACAAGCTTGGATGGAGAATAACCGAAGTACTGAGACATCACGAGTTACAACAAAAATGGACAGAAAATAATTCCCAAATAATTTGGAAGTCAAGTGTATTCTCCATAATGCTTGGATTTGTGGTCACGCACGACGTTCCTACAAGCGCAATCTTGATCCTACAAAAGAATCAAAACGATGGCCACACTTACATAGAAAAATTTGAGCCACAATGATTCTTCAGCATTTTCCACATTTTGTGCCCACACAAACAAAACATGTGTCAGGATGTGAAATCGCTCCACTGTATCTGTTTCACATCAAATTCCACAACTTCAGAACATCAGACTAGAAATAAAACTGTTTGATTCCTCCAACAGTGGAAACAAGAACTGCAATTCGATAATGAAATGACTTAAACTACCTACCGTGATAGGCCATTTTATGCAACTGGTCCGTGCCCATGCGCTTGAAGACATTGCTTTTGATCTCCGCAAAGTTGTTGGATATTAAAAGCGTAAGAAGTGCATTGTTTTGAGCGTTGACCGCAGCAGACAATGTAACAGCTTGTGATATGATAATAAGTGCATGTATCAGTGTAGATTGTCAAGGATAAATTCAGAAAAAGATGCAATAAAATGAGCTTCCTGTATCCATTCCCATCCCGTTGAATGCGTTGCACTGTTACAAGATCTGGCAAACTAGAGTTCTGCACTGCCGTAACGTCTATTGTCAAACAATAAATCAAGCACATCGATGAAGGATATGGTAAGTGAAGATAGCTATGCATTGATCCAGAGCGAAGCGTGCAATCTCAACTGACAGATTCTCATCACGGCAACTCTCAACAGACATCGCAGAGTTGAACAGGACCTGCAGTACATCTGCTCCGAAAGATTGACAAAGTTTGTCAAAAATCTGCACAAGCACGATTGAACTTGTATTATCAGCAGAAGGCTATTCGAGAAAAGTCCCACAGTATGTCCTCATCTCTAAGCTTCTAACTAAAATACCTGTTTGTTTGGCTGCCAGCGAAATATATTGTTCCGACGTTAGAGACAATAAAATTCAGAGCTCCTCATGTTCAACAAAAATCTCAATTTCGGGTCCTGGTATAGCTACATGTGGCGATTCTTTTTATTAAGGCTTACCTACCTCCAGAACATTGAAAATGACATAAAGCTTGACAATGCCTTGGCATCGAATCCAGTGGTAGATGATACTTATATCTGCAGCATCGCGTTCACATGAGAAGATGTTCAAGACAAAAAGATATGCATGTTGCGCACAAATCCAGGTTTCTATACAAATGCAAGAAGATGTAGCACTTCACGAGAGTCACCCACCTGCTTGCCTGAGAACTGCTACTCCAACCACAAGCACAATCAAACATCCGAAATCGCAAAGCTCTGCTGCCACCGGTCTTTGAAACTGCCTGCCCAGAAACACCTCAGGTTACAACAAGAAACGTCTTGACACGATCAAATAAGAGGTAGACAAAGAATTAGAGCACTCCCATTTTCCAACTGTGCTTTCGATAAGTACCTCACCTGGTTGAGACTATTTGGCATCGATCTCATTAAGATTTTCAGAGACTAAAAGATTTTGAACTCTATGGGATTTAATTATGGAGGAGAGTTCTTCTCGCTAGGATGGTAGAATACAAACAAGAATACTAGTGTACATCTGCTTTGTCTCACCTTGAAAACGATTCTGATACAAATTTGAAAACTATGATTTCAAGTTAAGAATAGCAAAACATAAATGGCTAATGTGTGGCAGATTGGGACTGACTGGTTGGTGCATTTTGAGCAACCAGGAGAAAGGTCAATGTACAGAATGACAACAAATAGGTCTCACCTGCGCTTGAATAAATTTCGTATATGGTGCCAAAAGTACATGATGATCCTTGCCGGTATCACGGTGAACAGCGAGAGGAAAGCATCCAAGCAAACGAAGAATCCAACGTCTATAAGCTGCATAATGTGCATAACGGAATTAGAAAGTTTCAACATCTTAGCTTCTTCACCCTCGAGATGCAAAGGGGAGACTCACAAAAAAACATTGGCTCCATGAGAGGACTGTGACAAGTTCCTTTACCAGTATCAGTGGCACTTATCCTAAGACTTCATTCAATTCTTACCAGTTCACATCGCCAAGGCACGTGAAACATCGTGTTGTAAACCTGCTCTCTCCTCTGGTCGCTACCAGCAGCATTTGTGTTTCTCAAAGTGCTCCCACCGAAGACTTCTCCGCGGATATACTGCAGCGGAGATAATTCCACAGGTGGAGGATCTAGTAGTATTCAATATCCAGGAAAAAACTTTGTCATGTATTTAGAGTATCAATTAAAGATGTTGAAAGACATACTAGACAGCAAGACCCCCACCCCCCATAAAGCAGAGAAGACTTTCCGATAATTTCACCGTTACCTATCAAAAGCTGTAAACTGAAACCCATGAATGATTCAATTGTTCTTGCTTGCTAAGATAGAGGAGCTCACGATTGTTGGCAGCCATTAGACGCTCCCAATCTTTCAACTGTGGAGTGGCGAAAGTTCCGAGTCGAATTTTCTGTGGAGGGGGGGTGGCATGCTCATCACTAGATGTACCGAGGTTAGAATCTATTAGTGAACGCTGCTTGGAATTCACAACTGTCGGCATGTCTTCTACACAATTATCATCATTGTGCTTAGAGACGCTTCTCTCTACAAGTCGCTGCCTCAATTCTGTTGGTGGGAATAATGCACCAGGAGCAAAACTCGGCTCTACTATGCCGCCATTGGCTGCAGAAAAATCTGGTACTCCTGACGATAAGTTTTCCCTAAAGCTCGGACTTTTAAGAAGAGACCTCTCTGACGCCCCTTGAACGCGAGCTACCTTATCGACTGTGTATACTACTGAATCTGTCACACTTCCCTCCTTGATGTTGCCTAAAGTCTCTTCCAGAGTCTCCCTTAACCTAGAATCGTCTTTAGCAGCGTGACATGATAATTCTGATCCTGTTGAGGCGAAGAGTTTTAAAGAGTCCAATTGATTGGAATCCCGGTGGTCCCATCCAGCAGAAGAACCAGATCTGTATTCTGCAGGTGAAATGTTTCAAGAACTCAGAAGAGATGAACTATTTAAGCAGCCACACAAACAACTTCGAGAAAACAAAGAAGGAACAAAGAAAGGAGTGTTGGTCACAATTCTAACCTCTGACAACTCCCAAGCTGGATGGCTCGCGCTCCAATGACCGCGAGGTGATCAGAAGAGGAACACTAGGGGACTCGGCAGAAACAGACGGGGATGATTCAGTCGGAGAAATTCCCAGCGGCCAGTCTGAGGGATACGCAAAAGAATCAACGGAGTATGGTAGGGGAGGCAATAGGCTGCTGTTCAAAGTGCTCAAATGACTCCCTGATTCATCTGGAATTGGTGATATGGGACTCAAATCACCAACGCTGGTTTTTCTGCTTCTATTCTTCCGGCGCCGGCGGCGAGGTTTATCACTCTTTTCGTCACCCATGAAATCACTGCCATATAGATTCGCAGAATCTCCATCTCCAGGACTGTTGTTCGCCAGAAGCTCGAAGGAGAAACTCCTCCTTGACATCTTGGATGCCATGAGATCATATAAAACTGAAAGGAAGGAAATAAATATGATACGATTCAACAACTATTGTAATACGAATCAAGCAACCTCCTCATCAGATCCATCACATTGAGCGAACAACGAGTAACAGAAGCAGTTCCGGTGACATTTCCCCAGTTTTACACTCATCCCTTCAGCAAAAGGGAACACAATGTTTAAAGCCGAAAACAACTGAAGCCAAGCAGGTAACGAGATTGGACACAGAATTCAACCCACTAAATCTGCACTGAATGCGCAATCTACTCGATCCGAGCACAAGAATAATAGCCTGGAGGAATGCACCACAATAAGTATAGTGGGCACAATTTGAATGTATTTAGATTTACAACAACAGTCCTCTCGGTCAAAGCCAAAACCGAAGGAAAGAAGGGACAGGGACTATCAATTTGCACATCGAATCGAATGGAATCGATCAAATGGACAAGGGTCCTGTGGGAATGGAAACGAAAGATTCTGTCGCAAAGCTTGCCTGCTGGACCAAGACATCGCACTAGCGCCAGCCACAGAAGCAGGAGAAGCAGCTGCACGAAAAGAAGCTTGTCTTGCAGGTCTTGCCCTCAAGGGCATCCCAGGACACTGGTGACCAACACAGTTAGTCTGTCCTAGCTTGTATACTCAAACGGAAACGGCGATGTCATCTGCTTCTTCTGTGTCTCGGACGCATTTGCAAGTGCAAGACTTCCCGATTTGTACACAAGGATGATGTGTACGAGTTCTTCCACATCATCTGGCCACGACATTACCTTTCGAATTTACCATCTGTCAATCTCTGTGGTGTCATGCATAGAACAATAACGTGCATATATTTGCCACATCATCTTTCGGCTTGATGACCTGTTTTTTTTTGGGGACCAAGTAATATAGTATAAAGTATCGGAAGAACCGATCAAAAGATCCATTTTGCGAGGGACCCGGAGTTGTGTCTAGTGCAACCTGACTTTGCGTACCACAAACTCACTTTCTATTCAGCTTTTCATCAAATATGTTTTTCCATTAGATTGAATGGATAAATATATTTATTCAATGTTCTCATTAAAGTTCTATAAGAAATTTTCAATGGCTAACAAGTATAGCATAAAGGGAGGAATACTTTGTCAAGTCTAACATGGATGATACCACATGGTTCTCTCAATCTACCGCAATGGCAAATTTATTTCATAATGCATTTAAGATTTAGATGTTAAAAACGAACATACTTCGAATTTTAACCATGTATATAAGAATCTGAAAGACGAATGATTTCTCCTATTTATTTCAAATATACATATTTATGAAAGATTTTTTAAAAAATTAAATGTTTTCAACGACGTAGAATGCAAACTATGATAACTCTCCATAGATTTATAGTGAAATGATGCTTCAAGTGATATGGATTTACGTAAAATTAGATTGTTTTATCCATCCCAAGTTTTGTCCAAGTCATCACATGAATGAAGTATTTTCTAACAAGCCCTTAGTATAAATTCAGTGAAACTTAGAAATTCCAATGCAAGAAAATGAATTGCAATGAGGTCTAATACAAACAAATTGTTTTGTTTCATTCCAAATGTTCAACTGTGACATTTTTTTAATACATCAATGTCAAAGATATTCTTTTACTGTCCAACATACCATCCTCTCTTCTTCTTTTCATTAATCTATATTCAAAAGTATGCACATGAATAAATCTCAAAATCTGAAGATTTAACATCATGACATTATGATATAAATAATTTGTGTAAACTTCCAACAACAAATTTTGTAATTTTTTTGTATATTCTGGAAGAAATTTTCAAAATTTCAATCTCATCAGTTTAAACAATCTTCATATTTACAATATTATTTCATAAAAATTATTAAAAAATTATTATTTCATTTAGGTTTGTATCTTATAATTATTGTTGAAAAATTTGCAAAAGATGAAATCATGTTACTAATTTACTAATTGAGAATCATTGCAATCTTAAAGAATATAAGAATAGTTCTAGCCAATTTTTCACATTCAGTTTCAGTTTTCATACTGATTTGAACATTTGACTTTTATATGATGAAGATTGATTTTTTGAATCCACCAAATGTCTCAAACAAGTATCTGCATGTAAAATTTGCATTTTGATTCAAATAATTTATTATAGATAATGTTATATATAATAATTCACAGTGAATATTTTATTCAGTGTTTCGTCTTTCAATGTATGCAATAGCATTGTCTATATATTCGTCAACAATGTCATTCTCTTGCCATTGTATCTTGAAAAAATATAAAAATATAAATTTTTAACAAATGAGCTCACTTCTGTTTTAAGATTTCAGCAATTTTATAATGGAAAAAATATTCAATATATCTTTTAGGTTTATCAATTACTTGATAATTTTAGATTGATCTAGATTTGAAGTTTTTTTTCGTATTATTTTTTGATTCATGATATTTTTTCATAAATAAATTATTTTTGTATTAGTAAATTTGAAATAAAGATAATTCATAATTCTTTCCATGATCATATGACCAAAGAAACTAGTATATATGCACATTAAAATTTGGTTTATGTCACTAATGCAAAATTGAAATATATAGAGTGAATTTTATAATTTACTATTTTTACGATATACATTAATTTCATATTTTTAAAAATACCTTTGAGAATTTTTTCTTATTAAACTATATCAAAATAAACGTAACATTCATTTTTTGTTAGAGATAATTTTCATTTTTCTAATTTTTTTATTATAAAAAATAGTTTTCACATACATTTTGAATCAAACAATGTTTGACTGAATATTGGCTATCAATCAGATCTTTTTTTTATATTTTTTACTGGTTCAAATTATTTTTTAAAGCTGTAGGCAACTTTTATTTATTTTAATCTTATAGGCTAGTTTAAACACGTGAAAATGAAGTATTTTACATCATACAAATCTTATTAAAGAACAATAGTAACACAAATAAGTAAGAAATTTAAGGTAAATAATCTATGAGTTTAAAAAAACTCAGATTATACTATCAGTTCTTCTTTTTATAACATAATTTTAAATCAAACTTTAAACAAAAATGATTTTATTTTTATCATTATCATTATACCTGATATAATGATATTATCAATACTAAGTGCAGTTTTGCTCTAAATAATTTTAGTTTTTGTAATTGATTTAATTTTTACATGCACACAACTAACTATAAAAAAATATTTCATTACATTTTTTATGAAAATTATTATGCATATAAAAATTATACTAAATAAATATATATTTCTGCAATGTTTGATGGTGATACAAAAATTTCACCAGATACGTCATACATATATCATAAAAATTACATTGCAATCAATCCATAGATTAGAACTTAGAAATAGCTAAATTTTTTCTTTCATTCATCTTCTGCATTTAAATTTAAAGCTAACCTAGAAGTATAAAGATCTTTTGTTACGACATTTATGTTATAAAAGATTTTGCCAATCGATTTATTAATCAAGGATTTTTATAATCTTTATACCAACTTGAAAGTATAAATTTCTTAAAAGATTTTCTATGATTAACTTTTTTTCAAAGATAATGGGCAAATTTTACAATAACAATCACCTCAATTTGATTGTCAAGAAACTTAAAAAAATTTTGAATTTATCTTAGTATAAATAATTGATGTACGTAAATTAAAAATTTTGAATAATATTATTAAAGATTATTTGATGAAGAATAGAATAAAACCATAAAATTTTTTCACAAGACATTTGATTTCTGTAACAATTTCTTGAATGAAATATTTAAAATAGACTCAAAACATGTACAAATGCAATTTTTCACAATGATTCAATTGTTATATTATATATCATATTATTAGGAATAAATTAAGATCAAATAATAAGATCACAATCATAACAAGTATTTTTTATTGATATTTACAAAAAAAATGTGAATGCATCACTTAAAATCAAGATTGATATAAATCATGAATCTATTACACTAATTCAATGAATTTTCTTAAATATGATGAGGATATTTTTTTTAAAAAAGAGGTTATAATATTGCTTAGTTCTTATATTGACTTTATTGTAATTATAATATTTATATTATTATGATTTGAGTGGATGAAAGACATAAAAATTATCATTATATAAAAATAAGATAGAAAAAATAAAAGCATAAATTGAAATATTTCCAAGACTTCTAATATAAAGATATTTGAAATCATTGCATTAAAGAGTGTAGAATTATAAAAGAATAGTTAAGAAGAGGAATATTAAAACTTCATTTCATGACATTGAATAAGAAGCCATAATTTTTGTTAATATACAATCATATAAATGACAATATAAAATCAAATACATCTTCTGTTTCAAAGAAAAGCATCATGAAAAGCACATCGAGGAGTATATGTTGATTTCAGTTGCATGAATTGAAATTTATTTGAAAAATGTTTCATGAAATTTTATACCATAGATAGAAACATTAAGTGGTATCTCACATAAGAACAAATACAATCAAAACCTCTTTCTTGAATCACCTAGAGTAGATGAAAGAAAAGATTTTGCAGGATTTTCAAGCATAAAATTTATGGTATTTATCCTTTTTCTGATATCATATATACACACACTATATCTATGATCGTCAATATCTATCGTGAACATGAAAAAATCAACAACTTTGAATGAGTTAAAATTTGATTTACAATATAGATACATGGATAAAATGTTACTTATAACAAAATTTTAATTATTTAGCACATTTAATTTATCAATTCTGAAAGCAAACGTGTTGTAGAGAAGCACAAGAACCATTTTATGAAGTCAACATGGATATGATTTTCGATTCTGGGATGTTGGTGAGATGAGTCTCTGCTTTCGACACTTCGTACTTCTCTGTATTGCTGGGTCAACAAATGTCTGCGAAGATAGCAAACTTTGTTACTGGCTTTAGAACTAATCCAACCACGGAATTATTTCGATCGCCTGTCTTCAGATAATATGATCGTCTGAAAGAATGAAAATTACTTGTGTCAGATCAAATTTTCTTTCTCAGAAGACAGTCAATCCCGGCTGTAAATCTAGGTGTTAGAAAAACTTGGAAGACTACTTGTCTCAGACATGCGGATCGAACTTTGACGATCTTTCAGGTACGTCCCCCTTTCGTTCACCAGGCACCAACTCCTCATCAAGCTCTTCACATGATTCCAAACCATCAGATGTCAAGTACTTGATGCCCTCCAGTTTTCATAGGCAAATATGTTCAGAAGACATCATCCATCCTCAACGAAATGACATGAAACCGTTCTGACTGGATCGACGTACAGACACGAGAGTCGGCATCCTGAAAGTATGACTAGTTGAACAACAACGAACCGAAGAAACACCTCTACTGCGTACATACTGACAACTATTATTTCGCATCAACATGAAATTACGGTGCCCACGACCTGTTCAAGAAGTATGTCATTTAGAAGCTGAACCGTATGAATTGGCCTTGAACTTGCTGGAGAAATTTCCAACTCGATGTGTCACTGGTGGTGTATCCCTACCATGATGCACTAGATGTAAATACATGATAACAATTTCCATCCCTCAAGGACCAGGCATACCACTTAATTCTCTTGGGAACCACCTTCAATGTCAGCTTCGAAGTAGTCTAATTAAATTGAATTGTCTTCCACACTTTGTTACTGAAAGACACCCCCAGGACAAGACAAGGGGGCATGTCCGAAGGGCATAGTCCCAAACATGTATCACTAAATGAGCTAGGTGAATAATAGAAGATACATAAAGATAACTTTCCAATACTAAAGAAAGGAATTTCTCAGTTGCTGGAAATTCCTGCATGTATACATTTCTCTCGATTCCCAAGAAGGGCCGACTTCACCACAGCCATGTCCACTCAGAACTTGGAACCGTAAGGTTGTCAGCCACCGCATCTGGTTTGGGTCGTCCATGTGCTGTCTCCTACACGTAGTCCTCACTCAGGCCAGCGACCTCCAATCGTGTAATCACATATAGCTTGGTTCCTCTCAAAACCTTAAATATTCAAAACGACCTCGTCACCAACGACTACATAGGTTTGAAAAATGAATCAGGTGAGAAATCTGAGAAACAGAAACCGCAAACTTGCTTGGCAATGGGCTGATCTACAGCATACAGCTCTGATCTGCATACGTAATCTACCACAGGACTGTCGGGTAGACGACTTCACCTTCGTGATCATCGTATGCTCAGATGAGGGTACTACATGAAGCCCATCTCCGTTGCAGATGAATTTCTTCTAAATAACAATGGTGCGTGCATTCTGTTCAGTCCTGCTAGACTTTCGATTGATTCTCGTTTCCACCGTCCCTGGCCCTGGTTTTCTCCATGAGCAGGGCTTGGATTCGCTCCCGCTTCAAAGCATCATGAGTAGGTTCCACAACACGACTGGGACCTCTCCTGTGATAGGAACTTTGGACCATTTCTGCGCGAGCCCATAATAGAACTGCTCCAAAAAATGCGCACCCCGTTGCCAATCCCACTCCCCAGACAGCTGCAGCTCTAGGTGTGAATCTTGACTGAGGCGTCTGAGCGTACACTACTGGTCCAGGATATCTTCTCGGCTTGGAGGGAGTGCTATTGTAGACCGGAGATTTATTGACAATCCTTTGATATGCTGCGGTGATGCGTACGAATTCTTGACCGTCTTTCTTGTTCAAATCAGGATGACTGCGCAACAAACAAAACCCACATGCAATCGCCAACATGAGACATGAAATTCAGATGTAGGAAACTCCTGTCGTTCTAAAGATTCTAAAAATTCTACCCCACCACTCCTGCATTCAGCCTCCTTGTTCGATACCCACAGTTTACTGGTAGGGAATGGACCGCGCTGCTGTGCGGCCATTACACGGGCGCAACACTATGGGCACACTACAGAAGAATTCAGAGAATGATCTGCGGAAGAAAATTAAGAACGATGGTGGTGAATGGGAAAGAAACTATGGCGTAGAGGCCGAACCACTGTAAGGCGAGGCGGCGATACGCTCCCTTCACTTCGTCCAAGCTTGCGCCGACCGAAAGTCCAAGCTGTGCATAGGCAGCGGACAACGAGTCGTGGCGAGCGTGCCCCGAACTATACCATTGGCGACGTGTGAGGGTTTGATACAAAGAAGGGGCGGAAATCGCTTGAGGTGTCATTGTCCCCGATGATGAAACCCGCCGCGTCTCTCAGCAACCCGATCAATCATCTGCTTCCATAAATTCAATACTTCGAACCAAAAATTACACAGTCATCACCCGCCCAACCTCTCGAGTGCCTCCGACAGCCCAGTCTTCAAACAATCCATGACAAACCGCCTCGCCATAGAACGAAAAGCACCGCATTCGCCCAAAAATCACCTCCCCCACGACTCGGCGACACTTCCCACGGCTCCCAGCCCGAATTCACCGCAGAGCTTCGAATCCAGCGTCGTCTCTTCTCGTCTCGAAAGTCATTGAATCCCAATTCGCAATCGAGGAATCATCATCACCCGTCGAGAAAAATCTCCATCTCCACGCGGTACACGATCGATTCCGAGCCTGACGTCGCTCGTACAATCGTTGTGGCCACGGTAGTACGAGAACGTACTACCGGGGCAACGAACCAACCTACGCTTCATTCCATGGGACGGACGTATGGACGGACGGACGGACGTCCGCGTTTCTTCTTGTAAGCACGACGAGCCTCGAGGTACCGACGACGACCTTCCCTCCCCTCCCCTGCCTCCGTCCCAAAGGCTTCCCTTTCCTTCCCTTTCCTTCTCGTTTTCTTGCGTCGACGAGCTTCACCATCGGGTGGATAATTGGGCAGTCTTACGTGGCGTGTTTCCGGCTTGACGAGCCAGTGAAAGGGGGAATACCGAGTAAAAGAACGGAAAGATGACTGGGCCAGCCGGTAAACCGGTAAGCCGGGGTGGAGAAAGGCCCGCCCTCGAGAAACGATGGCAGCAGCGATGCGCGAGGGACGCTGCGGTGAGGGCAACTTTGTCGTGCGCTTGAATGCTGGCAGTTTGAGAATTGAGTTCCTTGCGTTGTTGCGATCGGACCTGCCCACTAGCCTCGTCGCGGATTACAGATTTGCGGGCGAGTAGGCGAGAGGCGAGGAGGCGAGGAGGAGGAGAGCAGGGATTGTGAGATCGGTGTGTGGCAGCTGTTGCGGCCTTAGGGGGTCGCCCGTGTGGCGTTGGATTTGGCATTGTCGGGGGTGATTCGTCACGCTGCTCTGGTTCAGGTTCACAGTTGGTGATGACAGTGTTTCGAGTTTTGCTGCTGCTGCTGCACCGACGAGGAGTTTGTGGCAGAGTCTAGGGATTGTATTCGGCACGTCTGCGGGTGGCGATTGTGTGAGCTTGGTGGGCCGGCGGTCTTCTATCCAGAAGGTGCTCAAAATCTTTACGTTTCTGTGTCTCCGTCTTTTTCTCTGTTGGTCTTGCCGGCTACGCACAGGCAGACATGACAAAGCGGGAGGAATCCTTCCGGCCTGAATCGAAAATTGTTGCTTCTTTCTGCGACTGGACTCTAGGGCTGTGCTTTCTCGATAAATTCCGGACATCCACATGTGGCAAGAAAATCCATATGTCGTGCTGAGGTTTCTCTTCCTTTTTAATTGCAGAGAGAGTTCTGTGGAAGTCATTCTGAAAAGGCAGATTATTATTTTCTGGAGCATTACGTCGGAGAGGAACTATGGCGACAGCATCAGGTGCGTGTCGGACTGTTGTCGCTCGTTTGTGCAGCTGATTTTGTAACGGACTTGATCAGACGAACAATTTTTTTTGAACTCGACAATTTGCTGTTTCAGCTGCGTTCAAGTCTCGAGAAGACCACAGGAAGCAGTTGGAATTGGAAGAAGCTCGAAAGGCTGGACTTGCTCCAGCGGAGCTCGATGAAGATGGAAAAGAGATCAATCCCCATATTCCCCAGTATATGTCCTCTGCTCCTTGGTATCTCAACGCAGAAAGACCGGTATGATTGCGCAAATCTCTCTGTTTTGTGTCTTTTGTTTTGTACTTACCGGAGTCGTTTGGTGCATGTGAAGGATGCGCTGCTCTCGTTTTACTCGATTTCCAACCTAGTTGATTGTCTTAGTAGCACTTAGTAGACTCTGGTTCCTATATCCTTCAAATGCCTTCGAAATAGTTGATGCAATCGCAATGCAAGATGTGTTGACTTATGTTTCTTTGAGGCTTCCCGTCATACCTCCCACACTTTCAAAATTCAAATATTCGGTATTCCTGATGGTACATTGAAATCCAGCAAGGGTGTATACTGCAAGGAACCGTTTTTTGTTAGACTTTTTTCGAAGTTTCTCTGGATTACGTGTTACTTACTACGTACATAATATTGGCAATACTTGTAGAGTTTGAAACATCAAAGGAAGTGGAAGTCGGATCCGAATTACACCAAGGATTGGTATGATAGAGGTGCAAAGGTATATCAGGCTGAGAAGTTTCGGCCTGGCGCTTGTACGAAGTAAGTTCTGGCAGTAAATTTGCTGTCATCTCTGGTTGTTACATCTTCTCAATCTGCAACTTCACGACCTCTTCTTGCCCTCCTTAAAACCTATTAGTATCTTAGCAGAAAATTCTATGTGACTATACACTTCGTTACTGAAGAATGAATTACAAACAGCTACGTTGTTTTCCTCCACTGACTTTCTCACTTGTTTCCAACTTGGCAGTTGTGGTGCTATGAGTCATGACATCAAAACTTGCATGGAAAGACCAAGGAAAGTTGGTGCTAAGTGGACCAACAAGCGCATAGCAGCGGATGAAAAAGTTGAATCTTTTGAGTTGGATTATGATGGGAAAAGAGATAGATGGAATGGGTATGATCCTGCTACGTACGCCCGGGTGATAGACTCGTACGAAATGCGAGACGAAGCCCGCAGGAAGTACCAGAAAGAGCAGCAGATGAAGAAAATGGAACAAAAGAATGCAGTACCAGCAAGGGAGAGAGGAACTGGAGATGACAGCGATGAAGATGATGAGGACGAAGATGATGATGCTGAGGTTGATGAAGCCAAAGTCGATGAATCAAAGCAGATGGATTTTGCTAAGGTTGAAAAGCGTGTGCGCACAACGGGTGGTGGAAGCACTGGAACCGTTCGGTAAGCTCACGTTTAGGATTTAGAAGCTATTCTAGTGAAATGAAATACCCTTTCCTGCTCTGCAGTGTGATGTGGCAAGGAGAATTGTTGCAGCTTCCTCATCGTTTGTGTATTACATACTTTAACATTCATCGGTCCGTGATACAGAAACCTGCGTATTCGAGAGGATACTGCAAAGTATCTTTTGAATCTGGACGTGAACTCTGCATATTACGACCCGAAAACAAGGTCTATGCGTGAAGATCCGCTACCAGAAACTGATCCGAATGAGAAGTTCTACGCAGTAAGTTCATGGACTCGTGTCCGTTACACTGTTTAAAACCTTTGATTTGCATGTTTTGATTTTGGAGAGGCCTAATGTCGTGCTTCCTTTGCCTGTGGCATCCCACAGGGAGACAATCAAAACCGTGTTAGTGGACAAGCCCAGGAATTCAAACAGCTCAACATTCATGCATGGGAGGCTTATGAGAAGGGACAAGATATCCACCTGCAAGCGGCTCCATCTCAAGCCGAACTTCTACACCGGGAGTTCAAGATAAAGAAGGAGAAGCTGAAGAGTCAGACGAAGGAAGATATACTTTCGAAATATGGAAACGCGGCCGAAGAGGAGAAGCCCGACATGGAGTTATTACTCGGCCAAACTGAACGTCAAGTCGAGTATGACAGAGCTGGGCGCATTATCAAGGGACAGGTAAGTACAAGTTTAGGGTCGCAATCTGTTTTCTATAAACTCTTGTGCTGTTGAACTTAGTATCTAAGTTTTTGACATACATACATCTGTACTTAATCAATTTTATCATACTTTCAAAGTTTCAGCAGGATGCAAGCACTGTAATTTCACAAGAGGGCGACGATGTAAATATCCTGCGTGTTGTGTTCCTTAGATTAGATGATGACGTGAATGTCTTTTAGAAGTAGCCGTGGCTTCACTGCCGTACTTGTCTTTATTACAAGTGACTCGTCGCGCTTCTTAGTGTCATTTACAGTACACTGTATGCGTAACGTACAGCAGTCTATTCTGTCACGCTGTTCATGCACTTGACGTTGTACTTGCTTCTTTCAGTATTGTACTTTAACAAGCACAATACTGTAGATGGGCTGGTTCGCTCGGTCCCTTCTAATGTTTATGATGTCTTGTTCTGTTTTGGCAGGAAAAAGCTGTGCCGAAAAGTAAGTATGAAGAGGATGTGTATATCAACAATCATACTACTGTCTGGGGCTCATGGTGGAAGGATGGTCTGTGGGGATTCAAGTGCTGCAAACAGCATACTCGGAATAGTTACTGTACTGGACAAGCTGGTATTGACGCCGCTGAAGCCTCTGCGGATTTGATGCGCTCTAATATTGAGAAGAAAGAAGCCTTGTCAGGTATGCCTTGTCTGGCCAAGCCCTTGATTTCCTAGTCAGGCAAGAATCTCGCTTTTATGAAAGTCAGACGTCTGGACTTGAGAGGTACAAATGGATACCAATTTCGTCCAGCACGAGGACGACGGGCGCACTAGCCTGGTTGCAGAAAGTAATTGTGGTGGTTTTGGAAACTTCACCGAGGTAATTCAGTCCTTAATGGATATTAGTTCAGGATATCTACAAGGAATGACAATCCGTCCTCATTTTGTGGTCATCTGATTCATTACCTGCAATTTGTCAGAAAAACCAGCTGCAAGAGAAGAAAAGAATCCTGCAACATGGGGAAGCGAGGTACCTGATGATCTGGTTTTGGATCACAAGAAGTTAAAAGCAGCTCTGAAGAAGGTGATCAAATCTGCAATCGCAGTTACAATATTTTTCCCTCCTGTGGTTTTTGACAGAGGCATTTGACGGCACTCTGAATGTATATAAACTAGGAGTTAAGGGATCAGCCTCAGGAACTGACGTATCAAAACTTGATGATGAATTTTGCAGGAGGATGATAGACAAAGGGAGGAGAAGGATGAACGTAAACGGAAGTACAATGTAACGCACTCGGATGAGGTACAACTCGAACTTGCGATTTCTGGTCATACCGTCGTTGTAGCTTTGGTTTTCTGTCAAATGTATTCTGGACTCTCGTGATCGCTCGACTGACATGCATTTGTTAACTACGTTCAGGTCACTGCGGAGGATATGGAGGCATACAGAATGAAGAAGGTCCACTTTGATGACCCAATGAAAGACTTTTTGTAGTGTGGGCTAATCTGGATAATTATATTCATTACTTCAACATATGCTAGGATCCAGTCTCCTTGAAACAATCGATGTTGGAACGGGAGGAGGTCCATTTCCGGTTTCATCCTGGGAGAATAGATTACAGTCATGGGAATGTAAAGCCACCATCCCTTGTACTATAAAAGTTGTAAAAGAATCATCGAAAATTTTGGTGTCCATACACGCCGTTGAAGACTGGACTTGTTGGCGAGTAGTGCTCGGACCTTTAGATGCCTCGGCACTAGTAGCTTAGAGAAAGATTTGAAGCTCTTGCAGGGGCCGCAGGCTTGGAGTCGAGTCCGCACAGGAAGGAGGCATTGGTCATTCCAGTCTCTGGTGGCCTTCACGGTGTGTAGGGGAGAGTGTAACATTCGCCCACTTGTTAGGAGTGTATTGTGTACCATACCGTTCGAAATATCATCATTTCTCCTCTTGCGATTGAAAGTCCTTCCTGTTCGTTTCCTCTTTGTCTTTTAATCTCAATTGGGTGGACGGTTTTAGACTTTTGGGCACCAAACCAGACATTAAGATTGAATGGAAGGAGTTGAATTGTTTGAGAGTGACACCCAATCTGATCACAGGCCGGCCATGAAGAGTTCATTCCGTGGAATGACTCCTGCTTTCTTATCTCATTGAATCTCTAGTACATTTGAACATTTCCAATTTTGCTAAGAGTGCCTCGTAAAGCGAACACCGTGACCGAGGCGAGAGGGAGAGCGAGATGCTGCACCAATGCCGGTTCATAAGACGTGGGATGGAAAAAGCTAGCCCGGCATGCGTGTCATGGCGTCATTAGCGAAGATCGATGAACAAGGAATCGATTTCTAAACAATGAGCGGTCCATTGATTAGATCGCTTTGTACACGAATTTTAGGCAGAATCTTGGATCCCGCGTCTGTGAGCCACGGAAGTCCATGAGCAGCACACTGCTCCAGAGACTCTGCCCACGGAATGTTAACGATGGGGCCGATGCTTATTCGCCACAGGTCCAGCAGAATGGTGACCAGCATGGCCGCTGCCAAGGAATCGATGGCTGTTTGCGGAAGAGACCATGGCTTCGCCGGCTCCTCGTCCAGCCTGCTCACACTCCCACAGACAGACTCCAGTTAGCGCCACGCGCAGCGAGCAGAGACAGGCTCTCACTTTGCAGGCGATTCGTTGCAGCGTGAACGTACCTGAAGAACATGGGGAAGCTGGCGAAGAAGTAGATGGCGTAGAAGAAGGACCCGTACAGGTACATCGCTTTCCTGTCCACCATTTCGTAGTATGGGAACTGCGAGCGAGCACGATGTGTCAAAGGCCTGCGGCAGCGGCAGTGGCAGCCGCAGCAAAGGCGTGAAAATGAAAACATCTATCACACTCTGAAGGGCGCGAGGGCGTGGTCTCTGCACTTACATTGGCGATGGTGACGGCTTCCATGAGAGCCGTGACGTAGGACAGAAAAAAGATGTACAGGGCTTGTATAAAAAATCTGACTGTCCTGCTGGAGATGTGGCGAATGGCGTGACGAATTCGGCGAATGGTGAAATTGGAGATCATGTGATAGAACAGGAAGTAGGAATGCGTGAGAAGGAATGTCGTCAACGGGACCTGCAGCACAAGACAAGAGAAACGGAATGAAGCACGGCATGAGTTAATGTCCCCACTTGTGACACGTCGTTCCAGACATGACATGGCTCGCTCGCTCGCTCGCATTTCTCCCTTAGAACTTTCCATGACGAGCTAAGTGATGGCGCAACAAAGTCATTCAAGCGATCGACACGAGACGCGCATTTCTAGTGATGCCACAGACACTCAATGATGAGCGACACGCATGAAAGGAACCCACATGATTCAGTTTGTAAGAAGGAAAGGAGTACGTCGCTCCCAGAACGGTGTAGAAGTAGTGAGTCCAGAAATAGTTGCCCACAAATCCAAAAATTGCAATCCACAGGTTAGCCTGCATCAAACACATCGAGGGCGAAGGGTCAGTGAAATCGAGGCTCAGGATGGATGGCAAGCTACAAATCGAGGAGTTGATGAGCGCTAGGGAGCTCCAACCTTGACCCAGTAGCGATGAAAAAAGGGGCGCTTTGCATCCTCCTGCACAAGGGGAGAGAAAAGAGTTGTCAAAATGCGCCCAACACTTCACGGGAGCTAGGCTTCGAAATTTTGCCGAGAGAGAGAACGTCAGCATCGAATGCGTGTTTGGAAATGGGTAGACATACCTGCCCAACGATTACCAGCGGCAACGCCCAGCATGGGACCGCACATACTAAGCCCAACAGAAGGTACTCCAGTTCATCATATTTCTGTACGTCGGCCAAATCCACGCACCACACATTCTTCAGTAACAAAATCCGAGCTGCAAGCTCCGTAAGCTCCAATGTTCCTCGTTTGGAGGACTATGAGAAACGAGTCCCCAAGATCTCGCTGTGTTCGAACAGTGGGAGTTTACGGCAGTGGCTTAGATGAAACACAGCAGCCCAGGGACATGGGTGGGATGAATTTGCACAAAATAGCAGGAGAAGCAGACGTGTTTAGGGTTTACCTCATACAGTTGTAATGGGACGACAACGCCGAGGCACAGAACTATCCAAAATGGGCTGTAGGCCAGGAAAAAGAATTCCCCCCATCTCTTGCTGGGATCGGCGGCTAGCCACGGACTATCGGAGCCTTTTTTCGATTCTGTAACATCCACACAAAAAGGAAGGTACAGTCATCAACAAGCATTGAGGCAAATAACACTATTGCCACATTCTCCTTCTCGATTGCTTGTGGCGAGGCAGACGGCAGTGCGCTTTCAATACAAGAAACGAAACGGTAAAACTGGCTTGAATCCTTCTTGTGCATTTGTTTGCACGAAAGTTTGGCCGAGGAGAAAACCAGAAGAGGGTTCCTCATTAAATTCCGTATTCTCACTATTAGTTTCCAAGACAAGGTGCAATCGTCGAGAAGGAGGTGTTGACGCTTTGGGCTTTTCCAGCTCTACGGTTCAGCTCGATCAATATAGAGATGGGATTCTTTCTGCGCCTGATTGGACACTCTAGAAGTAAAACGGCGGGCACAAATTGAGATGTTTTCATTTCCATGTTCTGTATTGCAACGAAAATCAGAGACGAGAATCCTCTTACTTGTAGTTTTCTGGACAGCAGCAGCCTCATCATCCGAATTATCCTTCTGCGCTTTCCGATCTGAAGCCCTTCGCTGGCTCACTTTGGAACCTGGCATTGTGCGAAACCTGGGCCCAGCAAATCTGCCATAATTATTCCTGGTGAAATGAATGATTCCATGATCTCTTACAGATCACAATTTCTCTCTTCAACACATTCACATTCCACTCAGCTTCTGTAGCCTTTCTACCGAAATTCATCACACCACGGTAATCTGACCTCCACACGGCCCATTCTTCAGGCCGAGCAATATCTGTGAGCTATCAACGATAAGACCCGACTAGCCTGTATGAATCAAATCGTGATCCAGTCACTTGTCAGTTATCTTGTGATGACAGTGAGTAGAGCTCCTTACCAGAACAAGCAACGCACAATCAATCAACGGACGCGCTCTACGTCCTCGGGAAAGGGTAGGGGTAAGCGAAAGTCGATGTCTGTTCAACCTATGTTCAGTCCAGCAATCCGATTCCCTCGGCTCCGCTCTCCACCTCCTAAGTCGTCATCTCGTCCCCGTGCTGAGCTACTGACAGCTTCATTCTCAAGGACGTCACAAAGGGACAGCACAAGACTCTAATCCTCGCGTCTTGCTCCGCGTCTGTCGCACAGATAATCGAATTCCGCTCAAGACGACGCTTATGTTGTGAAGTTTCTCAAGAAGGAACGCAGTTATTGATCTGGGCCTGTTGCTCACGATGGCAATAGTGACTTCCTTTAACGGGACCCGATGGTTCGTGTCAGGGTCCATCTCGGACAGTTGGCGGCCAGAGCTCGAAGCTCTTGGATATCACGTGTTCTTCCTCGTCCTCCGAGTTCTCAATAGGCTGGATTCCTGCTTGCCTCGCTAGTGTGATGTATAGTGATGTGCTCTGCGTAATCTCTAGTAAGTTTCAGTGTAACCTCTTGGAAGTATTTACGGTTCTGCGTTGTGTCCTCTAAAACCTGAAAATGAAATGCGTCTTTTGTGTGATGTCTACAGAATGTTCTATTTACTCCGTGGGTGCATATTGATGTTATAAATTGGACAATATGCTCACAGACGCTCGATCTGGAGTTCTAGAGATCTGAAGTGAGAGCGGGTATGAACTACTGATCGAGGGCCCATGTTTACATAAGCATACAGACCTAGAAAAGATTCACATGGAGCAGTAAATCATCCAACAGTCGGTGTCTTCACAGATCAATCCTGCGCAGACCTAGAAAAGATTCACACGGAGCAGTAAATCATCCAACAGTCGGTGTCTTCACAGATCAATCCTGCGCGTACCAAAACTTCGTTTGTATCCAAATGTACACGACCTTCAGTCGTTGGACTTTCCCAAAATCTGCGTATTCTAATCAAACGACCTCTCGATGCACGAAGACACGACTCTCGGGCATGAAACTGATAACCGAGAGACCTTGTTTCTCTAAGCTCGACTCTTACGCTAGCGTAATTGTGATCTGCCTAAATGCTACAGCAGAGTTTCTTCAGATATTGAGACTTTGAATACAGTGTAATGATGATTTAACGTTGGTTTCCCATGCAGTCGATATCGGCTTCCCAAAGCGCCATCAAGTGTGTTTGGAACTCCGTATACGACCCTTCGAAATCTCTGGTGCACCATGGCCATAGCACACCTGTCCAGCAAAGGCAGGTTCAGTATTCCTCAAGGAGCGAAACCAAGGATACTGGTAACACTCTAGACGTACTGAAATGACCCAAAAAAATGACAGGTAATAGAGTCCATTGAAAGCATCGTGTGATTACATTGCGCATGGTTCCCGAGTAATATATATGTCAAACCCTGTGCACAGATAAGGCCGTGATATTTCAAAAGGGTCGGTTTTTGTCATGTTCTCAGTGGAGGAACCCAAACGGGCTCGATGTTCGTCCCCTATGACCTGCAAGAAAAGTGACTAACGATTTCAGTTTGTGACTGTCCAAAGTCTAAGAATGTGCTTGCGAGCCTTACGACCTCGTACTCGTTTCGTTTCGCAATTGTTCGTCTCAAGATTGCTCTTAAACGAAGAGCAGTAAGGACAAAGAGTGAAAGGTAATGAAAGCTTATATCTGAGCTATAAAGATCGTCCACAAGACCAGTAACATCCAAAACAGCGTGTCTACATCACTCGTGTTCCAAGGGCACTATAAGTATACTGTATTCGAGCCAAATAATGGAGTATTCCTATTCCCGTTCCTTCAAGTCAAACCTAACCCACTTTGCTGTAAAATAATCTGGACATCAAGAAGGGGAAATCAGAAAAACAGAACATTCGGAATAAGCTGGGAAAACAACAAACTCATCATTTACCTCTACACTTCGATGTTTTTTGGAACTTACGGGAATATCCTCGAATTCAGTCTCGTCCGGCCTACATTTGCTTATTCTGTCAGTGGGGAACAATCTTCGATCTCTTGCAGCAGCCATTTCAATGGCTGCCATAACTGCGTGGCGCAAGGGATGCAACCCGTGACCCAGAAACTGTCTACCTGTAAACTTCTTTGATTCTGTATGCTTATCGGTCTCAGAATTATTTCCGTGTGTCTCGAAACATTCGGGACTTTTCAGGACCTTGAATAGAGTATTTGAACCTGCGATTGAGGCAATGTCAGTCAGAAAGTCAGCAGCCAGAATAATTTCTTCGAACACCTAAACTGCAATGCTGCTGAAAGAAAGAGGCAGCAAAGCTTGCCGAGTCAACATACGACTATTTCTACCTCGCTCCAAAATTGGTTCTGAAGATAACATTGTTTCGATGGAGGCCATCACGGGCGAGTTCTGATGCTCCTCTGGATCTCTTCCTGAACCCTTAATTGGGACTGTAGCTGAGCTGTGTGATCCAAAATTTACAGATGAGCAGCAAGAACCCGTCCCATCATAACCCCAGGCAACAACAGCACCTAACCCGGGATCCACAATGATAGCTCCATTTCCCGGCTGCACAGAAAAGCATGTGACCCATGAAAACGGACCGGACATTGCTAGAAAAGAATCAGCCCTTTTGAGAACTCTAAGCTGGTTCATGTTTGAAATTTGGTTCACAAACAATATATTTTTTATATACCATCCGCGATTCTCAAAATGAACAGAAGGACTAAATGCAACCTATCGCTAGATAGTGAGTTTTCGCACCAAAACGCATGATGGCCAAGTGAAAATGTAACCAAATTTCAGATTCTCAAGAATTTTTGTAGAAAACAACTATCTAGCACTTGAAACATACAAACCTCTGGCTTGAAATTGGACCACAATGGCCAAAATCATAGTTTCATCCAAAACCATAATAAGATGAACAGCTTGTGAATTGTCAATCTGGGGATTAGGTACAAACACAGCATCAAACATAAAATGGAGACCAACCTGTCCATATCCTCGAGCCAGATGGGCTACCTGGACAGCCATCTGCATAAAGGTGCACATGGAGTGCACTGCAGCTTGATCTAGTTCCTCCAGTTCAGCTTTCCTGTAAATTTTAACAGTAAGTTGCCAAAGACAAATCGCGGACAAAACTTGATTATGCACAAAACTACAGGAAGCCTCAAACTGAGATAGACTATAAGCTTACATTATTTGTTGTGACAAAACTGCAACTTGAAATTCGGAGGAGTCGTGAGTCAGAAAGGCTTTAAAAAGCTGTATATTTTACACGAGTAATTTTGTTTGACAAGCACAATCATGCCCAATGCTTACCCAGCGTTTGGATGAAAAGAAGTTGGCCATAGTTGGCACTGCACCTCCCATTCTTCTCTGGTCCTTGCAGGCTTTTCTGAAACCTGGAATACATCAATAGTAAAGATAACTGAGAATATCGATAAACCAAGAGTGATCTGTAAGTCCGGGGTAGAAAGATGTACAAAATATTCGAAACTGAACTGAAGAATTCCTTAACTGCATCAACCCAATAGCCTTACGTGAGAAGATGGTCTCTGCAGCCTGGTTACTAATCCCAGAAGTCACTTATGGACTGATCACACATCATCGACTCACAGAAATTATGAAGGGTTGCAGACCATGTTTGTCCACCAACTCGGAAACACAGGTCGGCATCACAGCATCTTCTGAAGTTCCAGCCTCGTTCACCGGGCACAAAATCACAGATAACTCCAACGCACCTACCTTGTCATTGCAAGACTCCTCATCAACGCATAGTCCTTTGCTACTGGCAATGCTTACGCAGTCAAAGCGGTCACGAGATAAAATTCGGAGTCCAGGATCCTGAAAAAAGTGAAGAATCGTTCTAACGTCACCACGCGTACCTTGAGTACCACACCTTCGTATCCGCTTCACATGACCTAGGGATGGTAGCGGTGCCTTGACATTGAGCTCCCTGCCGCATAATGAACAAGGTCACACATCTTCAGCCGAGCCAAATAAGCGAGACACATCCAGAATAACGAGCACTGCAGACGACATACAGCAGTAACAGAAACAGGCACATAACTGCACGACTTTGAAACAGGAGAAATCTCCTTGGCCCTGTCCGAGCCTCGACGATGAAGAAATCTCGCAGAGGATAGAATGGAAGACACGATGGGCACACAGAGAGCGTACCTTATGATGAAGTTGGCGAGTTTTGGCTCGATCTTGGCGGCATACACGTCCACTGCATCCGCATATGAACAGAACACATCGGTGCCAATTTTTGACAGGAGGAGGAGGAGGAGAGAATGAACACGAGGCAAGGAGCAGGCCTTTAGTTTCACATCGGAGACAGCTCAAAAACTCACCCGTTCTGGGCTCAGACTCCGCCTCCGAAAGAATTTGCTCGACACTCCACTGACAGCATTGTGAGTGTTGCGCCACACCGGCCATCGTCGCAATCTTTGACCTCTCAAAGCGCCATCTCGACGGCCACACAGACGTTCGGCGACGCAGGCGATTCGAATTCGAAGTTGCACAGTGCTCGGGCTCAGCGAGCAGTGGAATCAAGATCCGGGCTTCCACCGAGATCGAGCAAGCACTACGCAGTATGCTAAGGGAAGACCAGTAACCAGGTAACATCGAACCGCGTAATTCGAGAGGAGAAAATGTTGACCGACTCCTTCGAACGATCTTCCTCATCTCAAGTAACTTTCATAACAAAGCAAACCTCCTTTTTCCCCTCTATTCTTCTTTCACTTATACTCGCAATCTCACTATATACAACTCCAAGCTAACAAAATAGCACTCACTGCATTTAATGTTATGATTTTTAGTCTAGCTTTCTTTCTCTTTCTTTCTTTTTCTCTCTCGTCTTTATCTTAGCAGTATCTTTTTTCTCTTTAGCATTTTAATGTTTCATTCCTTACTTTCGTGCCAATTTTCATACGGTTGTTATTTTCGCTTACTCCGGAGTCAACTGAACTGAATTTCTTTTGTCTTATCTATTTTTTCTCTCACTTTCTTCTCTCGTTCCAAGATCTGATTGTCAGGTTGCACCATTCAATGTTTCACATTTCACCAATCTTGACAGCCCTGAATCTACGGCCTTACGGTGCTGTACGGACATCAGGGCTTTCAACTTTGCTCGTGTCCACTTAGAATCACGTCTAATCAGTGTGAAATGACATGGAGCTGGGTTGCCATTTATTATATCATTGAGATAATAGAAAAGTTGCTGAGACACAATGTATAAAATTTCGAAATTAGTTTCTATGCCTCCAAAGGAAGATCAACTATTACCATGCAACGATACTACACAACACATGGATGACCGAATTCAGATTACTCTATCATGTGGCGTGAAGCAAGCACTCATGAAGAAAAAAGTTGAGTCGATTGAAATGGTTGATTTTACGCAAACAAATAAGCCGTTTATTGACTTACGCTGTTTTCCTCATGCTGCTGATGTCAAAATTTCTTCCTTTTATCCAAGGGAATGGAACTGGACCTGTTTATTCTATCTGCTTAAAGTCTTCCAGGTCAAGACATTGCCTGCGAGTGTGGACACAACCCCATCAAGTCTATGGTCGCACTATTCTATCTGCGCAAACCCTGGCGGGCGATGCTGACATTATTGGGAAAGGTGGGAGCAAGAGGAAGTCATCGATCGCGCTTCTTCTGGTGAGCGGGATGGAGCCCAATGTCACAAATCGTACTGATTCCGTTTCGGCGTATCTGATCATGCAAATTAAGAGCGTTCCCATCTTTCCAGAATGGGACCCTCGTTGCACCAATCGATGATCAGTTTACGATTTGGGTATGAGAATGTAAACTTTGCAACTCGGGGCATGCAGCAGAACTTCCATGGAGTATATCACGGAACGAGGAAGTACATATCTGTGCTGCCTGAGGCTCTGAACCGAGCGCACGTTCATACGCCAGCCAACGGGGAAAGTCCACATAGGACTTCACGCAACACTAGGACTCCCCCCCGAAAGTGCGAGGGGGATTCTGGAGACAGGTTACTCACAAGACCTAGAACGATGAAATCATTTGGAATATTTTTGGCAAGATTGCGATCGTTTCCTGTCTTCGGACGAGGATCAAACGCATTATGTCTTTTGCTTTCAGAAATTGTACTCTTTATGTCGAGGAATCTCATTAAAGTTTCAGGTTTTGCTCTCACTGACGCAGCTCTGTTGTGTTCAGAGGAGATTGCCGAGCTGTGGGGGGACGAGGGCAAGGCACTGCAGGGGATAGCATTCGAAAGATGATCGATCCCAGAATCCGGCGATGGAGGACAGAGACGATGAACGTTTCGAAGAAGACGAACCTTGGGTAGCTTTGTTTGGAAAGGGTACAAAGGAAGAAGGAGAGAAGAGATCATGATGTAGCAAGTCGTGCAAGCCTGTTAGGGTCAAAGTCATGAACAAGCTGGGAGCTGACGGTGACAAGTCGGGAAATCTCACCGGTGATTTTCAGGAAGTCAAAGCGGGGCGACGAGTAGTATTAGAATTTCCCGTCTCTAGCTCGATCCCGCGGTGCAAGACCATCACAGCCGTGGTTTTAGATTCGGTGATCGTCGCTGCCGGAACTCCAATCGACTGCGCCGCTTTACTGGTCCCTCCTCAGAAGGCAGAGGAGTGGATATACTCTTCGGAGGGTGGGCAATGGCAGCTTCTAGCCTCCGCCGGAGTGAGCAGGTTGATCGTCCTGTTGCCCAATCATCTTCCTACCCAACAGGTGGAGTCCGAGAACGAACTGGATCAATTAGTAGCTGTGCGGAGTACCGAGGACGATGAGCTGAAGAAAGTTTTACGCCCGCTGGTCCTTGCCCTTGCTCCCAAAGCCCTGTTCAAACTTGGAATCCCGGACATCCCCTTCTTGGCGTACAGTGACAATGTTGTGCAACGAGTGGAGATAGACGTCGCTTACTCTTCGATCACCGGTCTGATGATGGTCGAAGATGTGGAGGTTGAAGAGTCGAGCTTGCTTTCAAAAAGTGACTCAAAAGAACACGGGTCGTCTCAACTCGACTCAATGTGCACAAACCCCACGAGAACATGGAGACGGCGACTCATATTCCAGAGAATGCCAAATCTGATACAGACGGAAGTATCTTTAATCACGTATCCGTGTAGAGGAAGACCTCTTAAGGGAAGGAAGAGGTATAACGGATCCAGGTCCAGGAAGACGAAGAGCTCTAAAGAGGCTGAAACGGGAGAAAAACGCGTGGTGGATCATAGCAGGCTTGTGCACCAGTACTTGCCTCCCATAGTTGCTGGTTTTGTGCTGATCAGTCCTTTTCTGGATCGTTATGTCAGGTCCCATGTGAGGGCAAAGGTTCTATGTGTCGGTGTGGGAGGAGGAGCTCTGCCCACTTTTCTTCATAACCAATTTGGATTTCACATACAGGTACATCAGTAGTTTTATGCAATTGTTGAGTCCTCTGCGCTTGATTGTGAAATTTAAAGATTTCACAATCAAGCGCTACGATATGAACTATGTCTGGCGACCATTCTCTCTCTCCGCTCCGTCCAAGGAACAGAAAGAAGTATTCGGACTGTTTACCGGAGCATAGTGTGCTCCGGATAGGACCGAGGAGGATGCAGGAGTTTAGAGAAGGATAAATTTGGATAACGGACTGCCTGTGCAATTGTGAAGAAAATGTTTTACTCCTGGATCGCGCATGAAAATCTGTAAGATTGCATGGAAGGAAAGAGACCTACTGTAGAAGAGAGGGTTCACACTCATCATCCGAAGATGCAGAACGGCCTGTCAAAACTTGGTTACATTCTCACTGACTTGGATATGTGCGAGCCGTGTGTACAGGTAGTCGACCTGGATGAAGTGGTACTGGAGCTAGCTCGGAAGCATTTTGGCTTAACTCATGGCCCCAATTTCGAGGTCATCGTCGGCGACGGTTTGGTCGCTGTGACGGAAATTGCTGCAAGAGCATTGCAGGAGGGCTTTCAGGACAATGATTTGCTGGGCAGGGGGAGAAACTTTTCAAATCAACACGAGCCTCATGTTTACGTGCCGACACCCGAGTCTACACCGGAAATAGCACGCATGCATGACGCAATGTGTTTTGATAAACAGAACATATCAAGCCTTTTACAGGAAAAATGGGCCGAAGAGGCCGAAGCTCAGTGCAGGTCGGGGTGCAGTCGAGATGAAATTATAGCCAATATTACGAGCTCCAGGTGTTTGAAGCCGGACGTAGTATCGCAGCCAGGAGAACCGCAAGGAGGCAATTCGCCTTCCGAAACGATTGAGCAACTTACCAGCAAGTTTCAGAATAATGTTGATCCACGAGTCGAGATCATTGTAGTGGATGTAGATTCTGGTGATGCGCGATCGGACCTTAGTTCTCCTCCTCGTGCATTTCTCGAAAAATCATTTCTTCTATCAGCGCGAATTGCCTTGCACGACGGAGGCATGCTGGTCATGAACGTCGTATCCTATGGGAAGGAGGCTTACGAACGCGTTATCGGCGCCCTGTCAGCGTCCGATTTCGAAGAAGTTTATGAAATTTCACTCGACGAGAATGCCTACCACCGCGTCCTGTTCGCGATGTCCAAGCCCGCATGCTATCCCTGGCTGCAGGGACCAACAGTCGAGCGTGTGGAGAGGTTAGTGTGTGGTCAAATTATCCAGCGACTTACAAGGCTTAAGGGGAAAAGTGTCCCTCCGCTTGGAGCTGTCGATGTCGGGACTAGACAAGGAGCATAATCCATCATTCATTTTGTCTCACTGTCACCATCCAAGGGCCGATGGCAAACCATGTGCCGTCTTCGGTGTTCGAGAAACATTCGCTAATTTTACCGTCCCGTCTTTAGCGCAACGTCATCCGTTACGTTTTCTTATGAGGAGGTAACATGCTCGGTGTTCACTGAAGCTGCCGGCTTATTCTCACGGATATCCTTGCCTTGAAGTACTTCTTTGGCATCCATGTGAATATACCCGGGTGAGAATGCCATTTGCCAAGTGATAGAGATCGTGGCCACCACGTGTGGAGTTCTTAAGCATATCCAGTTCCATTCCAGCCATTGCTCTTGATCAGTCCATAAAGTTAGGCACACAATTCCAGAGGCGGTGGACGCTGATCAGCACTCCACATCCTCGTCTTCTTCACCTTCCTCTAGCAACTCTGCAGGTGGTGTTCATCACGAGAGATTCCTCTTATTCTTGGTTATCCTCGCTTTCTATTCCCCCTCTCCCGTTGTGCACGCAGCGGAAATCGGAGCGTGCGATCCCAAGGTTCTATATCGGAATCGCCACTACTAGAAACCTCGGCTCTCAATTTACCGTCCCCGATACTCGCCCGGACATTGCATCTGGCCACCTCTTGTCTTGGATTTGGTTCCCCTCCTGGAGCATCACATAGATTCATCTCACAGAGTAGCTTTCTAAATTACGAACGTGATGATCTCCGGAAAAGGTGGAGGGAGTAAAACCCGAGTTCAAACCTGACATAGGCCCGAGGAACGCAGGAACATGAGGTTGTTTATCGTTTGAGGCTTCAGTCCATTACGCTTCTTGGTCAACGTGTTACATAGTCCCATAAGTTGGTCTCGGACATAGGCCCTGGATGTCGGGATGCACAGGGTGGATTGCACGACTCGCGCTAGTATCGAAAATAGTTCTTTGCCCTTCTCCTCCATCATGACAAAACTCATCGATAGTGTTATCATCAACGCTATGTTTCATCTCTCATAGGTAACCTTGTGCTTCATGATAGCTTTGTACTCGTTGTTGACTTGAGGGTGGCGGTGGCGTCTTCAGGACCTTCAGCAGGAGAGACGTTGTCTTTCTCATCGTCGTATATCAAAACCGAAGATGTTTAAATCATGTTTTAAAAACAAATTGCTAAAAGCGTGAACAACAATTTTGAGAAGAAAATTAGTACCATTAAAATTTCACTTCAAGTTACAAAATTGTGTTTAACAAAAAATTTGATAAAAACATGAATAGATTGAGCGGAGTCATCACATGATGAAACTAGAGAAGTACAAATCACGTAATAAGAGTTTCGTTATCAAAAATTTGAAAAGAAACCTCAAAAAATATAAAATTTCATTTCAAACTGTAAAATTGCGTTTGACAACAATATTATAAAAACATGAATAGATGATAGACCAAGAATAAGTCTTACTTTATGCAAGTGAGCTTTTCAAACAAGTCACATGGTCATTGCCCAAACAGAATTTCTCATGATTTCCTACTGGAACATGCTGAATGACTCCATTTGTCGGCCCGTAAAGAGTTGCGGAAGAATTATTTTGGAGTGGACAATGTCCATCTCCAGAATGTTCGAATGTAACCGCCACCATTCGGTTACGGTGACATTCTAATGGTGTACGTATGCAGTCAGCCTTGAGAGGATACAGTCGGGATTGATCTAGCCAAAAGCCTTCAAAGCAATTAATTTGCTTCCCACCTAGTATATCTTAAATGTGTCTCGTGTGGTAAAAAGGGGAGCAGGCCTGCCAATGACACGAGAGGGTTCACTGGCCGGAAGTGTGTTGGCCCTTGGGTAGGGACAGGAATGCCAACAGGTTTAACGTGTGCAACGTCGCGCAAGAGCAAGCTTTACATGATGTGCAAGTAGACGTAGCTATATTGGTGTAGTTTATTTTACTCACCACATCCAGTGACGGAGAGAAAGCTTCACACAACGTGTAGGTAGACGTTGCAAGGCAAGAACAGAGCACGTCCAAACCAGTTTCAGGGCCAAACCAGTGCTAAACCAGTGAGTATACTAGTGCAAAATTTCTTGATGAGTACTGTGTGGTTACCGGAGAAGAAACCATGTGCGTCAGGCCCATTCACATCGATGTAGACGGCCGTCAACAACGTGCCAAATTCGAGCCCTTATTGCACGCTATCAATGACTGCAACGTGAAAGCTTCCTTGGTTTGGTGACTAGGTTACAATGCATCGTCCGACCGTACTACTGCGGTAGGCAACTCTTGATTGTGGGCCAGGAACCCGCGAAAGGGTTTCTTTCAGTCATGGTTGAGGGGAAAGGGGGCCAAGTGGATAGCATCACACCGTTCTGGCAAAGTACCTTATTCTTTACCGACTTGGCCTGCCTTGCCCTCTAAACTAAACTTTATAACTTTACACGTCGCTAGGGCATGGAGGTCTGTGTTCTCACACCGAAACGGAACCACAGTCGCTTGTCCCCAGGGTTGAAGGTCAGCCCTGTCGGAGGGCCTTCCAGCCTTTGACTCGAGGTGTTCCATAAGTCCTAGTTCAACCGCAGGCTAGAACAACCCCGACCGTATGACTGTGGACTGACGGCAAACGGTCACCGTCGTGACGGTCTCCCCTTTGTCACCGTCGCGTCAAAAAGTCACCCGTCGAGCTCGCACCCTCTACTATTCAAATTCGACACATGGTCAGTAGATGCGAGACAAGTGTCATCGACCACCACATTACCCCCATTCAAACTACCCTCCAGTCAGTCAGCGGGATCACCATCAATCGCACAGGCGCAACATTCCATCGATTATCCGGCCCCTGTAACGAGCTCGGGCTCAGGCACACCCGAAGGCGAGAAGAATCCATGGTAGAGTGCAATTGCCCGTCGCTGCCCTCGCCTTGCCTGGCGCTCACCCCACCTCCCCTCAAATCATTTATAATTTCTGAATCCGAAATTTTTCTCCACCCGAGTACGACTCTTTGCAAATTCAAAGTTAAACGAGGCAGCAAGCAGCAACCATTAAAACGATGCTGCTGCACCTGTCGCTGCATCCTTCTGCTGGAATACATGGAAAACTTAATCTAGCTTATTACTTTACGGGGAACTTTGAAGCACATTCAAGCAGATTATGGATCTCGAGACTGTGCAGCCATTTACAAAATTGAACGAAATTTTCCCATGAATTGACTATGCTTCGATTCTGAAGAAGTAAATCTATGCCAGTGGAGGACAGGGTGCTGGATCATGACGAAGGGCTGCAATTGCAAGGGAGACGGTCGATTCCTTGTCGAAGGTGGGGTTCGGCTCTGTTTCTCACAGCTGAGGATCGTAGTTTCAGGCATCGAAAAATTGGGAGTAGAGACTTGAGAAGAAGCAAACCGCGATGTCAGCGCACTGCGATGCGGTACATATATGGCCATGGCGGTTGGCGCATCAGCCTGATGCGCGCACTGCAGTATTACAACCACCGTCGTGAGCGAGGAAGCTAGTCAAGAATGGCCTAGACCCACCTTCATGTCCAGAAAAGATCTGTTTCGAAGTATGATCTTCTTCATGTTCTGACACGAATTTACGTACCGGGGTTTGGGAGAACGAGATCTAGTCACTGCTAATGCTCGATGAAGAATAAAGATCAAGGATCTGGAGGATTTCCTTATCTTTCCCATTCCCTTCGCCTGCAGTTTTTGGATTAATTGGAGGTTTTAGAAAGCCCTGGCAGCTGTAACGAGACTAAGCAGAATTCGAAGCCCGCCCCTTCTCTCAAAGCCGCGACGACAGGAAAACTCCTGGCCCCTATAAACGCAAATGCCCTGACAATCGCTAGGCATAATCTTGAATGCAAAAAATCACTCGCCAAATCGAAACCCCGAGATCTCGCGTGATCCGCCATCGCCAGTCCGAGAATGCGTCACAAGAAATGCGAGACGAGATGGCCGGCCGGCCTCATCTTGGGCGCCAAAAGCGAAACCACTGGTGACGGTGAAACCCACTGGGTGACGGTGACATTCGAACGGTGTACGCATGCCGTCAGCCCGGAGAGCATACGGTCGGGGTTGTTCTAGCCAAGAGTCTAGTTCAGAAGCAAATGTTGTACGGGCCACGCCTGTGAGGTAGACATGATCCCCACACGAACTCAGAGCTCCGTAAGTGTCCTTTTCGAGAGCTGCGGACTTTCGATAGTATGTCAGACATGTGTCGCGCACGTGTGGCTCAACAACGAGGACACGTGAGAAAAACAGAAAGTACAGGAGAACCTCTAAATGGAACACGGAAGAATCCAAATTATTCTAGATTATCGAATATAAAAAAATATTGTATTGGAAGCTATAAAATACTATTGTTTAGACGTATTTTTTTTATATGTCATCTAAAATACAATGGATATCATATGGACTTAAATACTTAACATGTTTATATAAAGTGAGAAATACATATGAGATTTAAAAGTAGTTTAAACAGGTTCAATCAAGTTGTAATCAAGATAACTTTGATAAAACTTCGCACATTACCAGAAATTTCTCTTAGTTTTCAAATTTTGAAGATATTTTATTAGACGTATTTATCAGCCATTAATTTTACTTTTTTATCAGATTTCATTGACTGCGCATCCAATATATTATGAGTAATAAATAAAATTTTGAGTTGAAAGATAGTCTTGTGTTGTGCCAGTAAGTCCGGTGGTAAATATATTCGAGAAAAGAAGTTATCAAAATCTTATGTACGTTACATCAAGTATAGTACTAAAGTACTGTACTTGACGGTCCGGATCTATCGACAGACGAGTGGAGCAATTAAGAGTTCGAATCTTGACATTCCTCTCAACACTTGGAGTTTTCACATCTGGCTCAACTTGCAGAGAAGCAATTCATCGATGGCAAATATCGCCATCTGGTAAGGATGAACAAAGTAATGACCCGTTTTATAATTATATCTAGTGTATATATTATAATCATCATGATGATCATAATCATCTACTGATTTTGAACAAATGAAAATTTTCGTTTCAACCTCAAGTAAAATCACTAATGATTGCCATGAAAATCAAATTATTTTGAAAATATATGTATAATCTTCAATTTTAATAGAAAAACAATATAAAAACAGACTGTAATTTTTTTCTATCGAATGTATGTTGAGATATATTAAATTTTTTAATGAGGTGAACCATTGATTAAGTCTCAAGACACAAAAGTATGGAGTTGTAGTTGAAATGATATCACTCTCAAAGTTATTGATAAAATTGTAAATGTATGGAACAAGCCGATTTATATACTCATGGTTGCACATAAGATAGCTTGGATGACTCTAATTGTAGGGAATTGGCCAGATTTGGTCACATGGACAAGGAAGATTTGACATATGTCACGAGAGAATGCATAGCAAGCAACGGTTTAAAATTTCAATAAGTATCAAATGGGGTTATGTGCCAAAAGCATCAAATGGTTTGCCAACTGCATCTAAAGTGCAAATAATGGGGGAATTCTATGGATGTTGTGCTCATGCAGCAATGACCATACGTTGGCTTCGCGTGGACCAAAGGACCGAGAGCTGGGATTTCGCAACACAATGGTAGCACGGTTGTCATCACGTCGACCTCGGATCGCCGTGATATGTCATTGAACCATGACACTCCCTGGCATGAGAATCACATCAAGAAGTCACTGGAAACGGAGACTATTCTTACCATACCAACATGAACTGAGTATGATCAGACCAGTTTAATATATCGCAAAATTGTTAATATACCACAATGTGATATATTAGGAGCACATCATAGAGATATATTAGGGAACGCAATTCGTCCGCCGCCGGCGCCGTGCCACTGCCGGAGTATCCCGTTCTTGGAACGGGGATACTGCGTTTGGAAGCTCTGCGTCATTGTGTTGTGGTTTTCATTGTATGTGATCGTTGTAATGACTTCGAATCGAGCTTACCCTCAGAAAAAATTTCCGGTTTTGTCAAACTTTCGGTCGTGAGGTTGATGCTGTTGTTTGCAAAGGAGCTAAGACAAAAGCGTTTCAGTTCTTTAAGAAATATGCTTTCAACTGCAGTAACATAAAAAAGCACATGCAGCATCAGCATCCGAAGCGGTGGACAAAGTACATTGAGGTTATGATTAAGAAAGAATCAAATCCGGATGCATTCAATGCTTTCTTTGAGCAATCTAAGCTTAGAGCGTTCTTCTTCAAGAAATCTGAGGTCAATGGTGATGTGTACTATTCCATCCACAAGAAGATTGTTGAAATCATAATTCGAGACATGCTTTTTGACGAGAACAAATTGATCTCAGGCGATATTGCGATGAAAGCATTCGTACCGGTGACAAACGAGTCTGAAGAAATCATTTTCTACACTGTTCATATCAAGAACAAGCTCCAGTTTAACTATGTGATTGAGCTTTTGAGTACTGTTCTCAGTTTCCGCCAGATATCGAAAGTTGTTAAGGGCAATCGAGAGAATCTCGGCACAGCAGCAAAAGTGGGGTGTATTTCTCCTGGTGAAGCCTCAAACTTCTCGCGTTTGACTTGTGTGATTGGGTTGCAGGCAATGGTAGAGATAATGCGATCATGCTGGGCTTTATCTATAGGAGCGGACGAATCCAACGACAAAGGTGAAGATCCGCATTTTGATTTGAGTATACATTTTACTCCCGTTGTTGGATATGATGGCGAAGCCAAAATTCAACACGGCTTTCATCTCTTAGCGATTTCTCTGTTCTCTCTGGTCCACATTGGACAAACATATGTTGATCTTGTGATTAAGATGCTGGATGCATTTTGTTCAGATTGGAGAATGAAGTTGACTGGTTCATCTACTGACGGAGCTGAAAATATGACAGGCCATATTAGTGATTTCTCGACACTTCTTCTCAATCAATCTTTGTGCAGTGATGCATTTTATCATTTATGATGTTTTGCCTACTAGCTTGACCTTGTGATCAAAGGATCAATCGACGTCATGGCTAAAACTGGGATGTTCGAGTTTACAAATATCCTCAACGAAGTTATCGCATATCTTTGACGTCAAAAGAAACTCATTTGTGAGATGGGATCCAAATGGCCTTATTATATCAATGTTTGCTTAACGTCCCTCGCTAAGGTGCTGAAGTGGCTGTTGGCAAACAAGATTCAAGTCTTCAACTATATTCAAGAGAAAATTTTTGCTCATTCTCCATCTCCTGCCTGGTATGTATTACAATATTCCTCAACGAGTTAACATCATCATTACTTCAACAGTTTATTGAGTATGGCGTTTGATTTTCAAGTGGTTAGTTGCAAAGGTCGTACACGTCTTTTTGAAGAGAGTTGTAATTACTTTCGACGCTCTGCAAATGGCTGATGCGCATTTTTCTCAGCAAATGGGCAATTTGAAAAGGCTTTGTGAGGATTTAAAAGTCGAATTGTGGAGCAATTGTAAACGATTGTGTTGCTGAGTTTGAAGGTACGATAACTAAGATGAGTTTCTTTATTGTTAACTTTGATACAATCAAAGGCAACATTCGATCCATAGATGTATTGGCGATGTAGCCAGTTTGAATCACTGGAGATGGCAGACGCTTTTACTATTATTTGAGCAATGGTTGTGATCTATCTCAATTCATAAACTGCATCATGAAGATCAAGGCCGCAAGGAACTGTTATAATGAAGAGTTCGACTTTGTGCCTACAAGTTCTCCGATGGACTTGATTGCAGTAACTGGCATTGATTTTGTTCGAATTGTTCGAAAGCACAAGCCTTGAATATTGAACACGTTCGATGAGGCGGAAATGATGTCGATTACAGATCACCACAAGGAGTTGACGTCATCGGTAGCACGCGAATCCCAACTTCAGGCAGCGTTGGAGAAAGTCGTTAAGAAATCTTTCAATCAAGCCTGGGATGTTACTGGCCATCGCTTTGAATCCTTGCGTCGATTTGTTGCAGGTCTCGCCTCTGTTATGCCAACATCGAGCCGCGTTGAAGCCGACTTTTTCTTCATGAACTTTTGCAAAGATGAGTACAGTTCAAACTTGTCGGACTATTCTCTTGAACGAATCATGTTTGAATGTCAGCTCAAGCAACTCGATTTCCCGATGGGTTGCATCTACGACTAGTTGTAATACACTTTTCTTTGTAGGTTTTATGGCTTGCAATATAATAGATATATTAAGTGCTCTATTTTGAGATATATTAGTTAATATATCACAATAACGCAAAGCGATACATTAAATTGTCCTGAGTATGAAGTCCTTTGATTCATGTAGCGATTCTCATCCGACTAAACTAGTCATTGACTGTCGTGGAGGAAGAGGCTACAGCCTCCAGCTAGAGGAAGATTAAGAAGACAAGTTTGTTAAACGTGTCACTGCAAGGAATCAAAAGTTGAACATCATTAATCCCGGAGGCAATTTCTGCATTGGACACATCTTAACACAAATTGCTTGATGAGAACTATCGCGTTTAGTTTTACCCATAAGATCCCAACGACGGCACACTGTCACGAATTTCTAGTAATAACCTTGACATAAAAGCAAATGCGAGCACTAGTCCTAATACTAATCTCGGAGTGCATCGATTGTTGGACAAATGAGAGAGCATTAGGGTCAGAGAGGGTGGAAGAATGTCTTGTTCTGTTTGAGTATAATCTGTCCCCGCCCACCGGTACTTGAAATTTGCGAGCTGCTCTACGCACTTAATTCAAGTATTCATTGATGAGCTCGATGTCTGTTCAAATCCTTCACGCATACTAGTTGTGTGTGGGAAATCCCAATAATTCGCATGACACAAACTTTTTGTTCAACGAAGAGTTGAACTTTGAGAGAATACATTCTTGAAGCTAACATCTTCCTGCACTTTGCAAATTCGAATAGAAAACCAGTAAGACGGTAGAGCTGGGATCTCAAGTTCAACCAAGTTGGAACTTCCAAGGGAACACTTCCCCACATTATAGCCCGTATCAAGTATTTACAAGAACTATTTTTAGAACTTGGTGAATGGTGTACCGCAAACGGTGGCAATCGGTAAAACGAAAAGTGAAAGGTACATCAAAGAATTTGTGTTTTGTAATTTACTCCTTACCATGCAAACATTGACCATGACTGCCCTTGGCAAAGGAACATGAGAGCTACGCTCTGTAAGAGCTTCCTACCCCAACACATGAACTCGACGGTTGGTGGGTCAGGCCATTTGTCTTACTTTCTTCAACTGTCTATGCTCTTTTCGTTATTGTTGTACGGTTGCAATCACCTTTTCCCTCCTATTTCTCTGGGCACCATCTAATCTTTTCTATTCGCGGTTATATGTGTTGTTTGCATAGAGGTACATTCCTGCCCAGCTGCTGATTGGAAGAGATTGCTCCCAATTGGACATGATTATGTGAAACAGTTCCAATCACAACGGCGTCAACTCATGCATTTACAAAAGCTATCGCAGGTATATTAGGTTTTTGCCTCCGTTCACAAGGTCAGGTCACAACGACTAACAACACATGTTAGCCACGCATTGATCCGCAGGAAGCAGTTGTAGTGCTAACCCTAGAGCGATATACCCCAGGAATAGTCGTGATAGTTGAGAAGCATGGATATACCACCACCAGAGTGCAGTGTAGAGAACGTGAGAGCTGGTGGATATTGAATACCGCGTTCACTCCTCACAGTACTGGTGAAAATTTGTATGTCACGCTTCTAGTCAGGAAAGCTAATTACAGGTCTGGTTTGGCGTAGAGAAACATACCATCCTGGCAGACATCGACAGAAGATTGGTTGCATGATGATTGGTGCGAAAATTTTACTCGGAATTACGAACCCAATAGAGGGCTTCTACAGAATCAGCAAGGCCTTGCTGCTGTCAGGCAATGATTTTCAACGCCTCATTACAGGTTTGTCCTTTTTGAGGCATTCCATACATATTCAAAGTGATCCTGGATTTTGGATCACTTTGATCACAGAAGTCTGAGCAATGGCTCAGATAAATGAGTTGTGTATCCGTGATATAAGTGTTCGATTAAATCGTCCAGAGCTATATAAACATATTATCGGCTAAATGGCTCTGACTCTCCGCTAGGAACAAGACCTTCAGGTTGCTGGGTGTATACAGTTGCTTGATATTACATATATCTCTGAGGTCTTGTCAAATCAAATAAAGTTTTTGCACGGCTGCGGCACGAGACTTCGATAATTCTTCCAGCAGAATAATCCCCCAATTCCGGCCCTCTGATCAGCTCGTTCGATGCCTGCAGCAATGTGTGAAAAATACACCTGGAAAGAAGTTTCTGAACCCTTCCCGTGTTCGACAATAATCAAGATAAGCAGCACGGCGCTTAAGATCCCCTGTTCAGCAGTACCCCGGGTTGAGGCATTCCAGATAGATGTGTTATCGAGTATCGAGGAATGCAAGATCGACGGAATCGATGAAGACGGCCTCGTGGAGGCAGTAAATCCGAAGCTTGAAGTGCTGCTGTAGACAGCTCCATTAATCCGTGCTCAGAGAACCCCCACTGTGAGGTTTAATAGATCACATAGTTCTTCCATCGATCCTTTAGAATCGAAGCCTCGAGCCTACAGGTATTGAATTACTCCGGAGTGCACTCTTGAAGAAAGCTACTAACCTGCCTACCGTAAATGTCGGGGAAACTTCTAAAATGATCCACATGGGGAGAAGAATGAAGATTACAAGCTCTAACAACACGGCCAGCCTGCCTTTGCTTTTCTATGAATGACTCTATGGATTTGGCTGGTATCACCTTATCAGCTGTGCTGTAGATATAGAGCTGCGGGCAGTGCGGCTGTTGCTGTGACAGAATATTTACAACCTGGGTCAACCTCTGGTTTATAGCCGGAATCTGCAAAAACAAAGCGAAAAATTTTTCTAGCATGAGGAGCAAGGCTGCTTCGGCAATGTGGGGCTGAGGTTTCTCGGCAACCATTTCCCCTCCGTTAGCAACCACTCCTTGAGCAGCAACACTTCGTTTCTTCAAAAGGGCTGCAGAAAATCCAGAAGCCCAGACTTGTGGATCGGGGTCTGCAGAGGGGGCGGAGTCGACAACACATCCCTTAATCTTTTCTACCAATTCCGATCCCCTCGACAGAAGTTTCTCCAGCAACACGCCGTATGTCAGCCACCCCGTGTTGCTGAAAGTGTGGAAAATCAGGTGTTTGTCACCGCGTTCTTCGTCCAGCCACATCGCGAGGTGAGAGGCGAGTTCATCAACATGGGCTTCCGCTTTTCCACCCATGGTGAAACTGAGAATGTCGGCCATGGGGACTGTGAATGTCACAGCATGTATCCCACGGGCATTATACCACTCCGCATATTTCTTCAAATGCTTCTGCTGAGAACCCAACCAGCCCAGCAACACCACCGTCACAGCAGGCTTGCTGTTCACGGCCGTGCCATTGACGGGGCTGAAAGAACCAGGCGTGGGCGTGTGCCAGGTGTGCATAGCATTCCATGCGCCTACCTTCGGCACAGGAGAAGAAGCGGCAGCAAACAGAGCGGCAACATGCGTCGAAAGATCGAACAAGGGGAAAGAATGGCCTGAATTAAATTGGGGAGAAGAGGGGAAGTACTGGGCTGAGGAAGGCAGAAAGCTCACGGTTTGCCCGCTGAAGTGCTTGTGGAGCTCTTCTCGCGGTAATCGGTATGTGGAACATAGAGAAGGAGGAGGAACACGAGACAATTGAGAAAAGTTAAACGGCAGCAAATGGGATAAAACTCTATGGTTGGGGCATGTGAACGACAGAGGACCGGCGGCGTAAGACACTTCCGGAGCTGAGGGCAGGGAAGCGGCATAACATGTGTTCGCCAGCCCGTGGGGGATATTGACACAAGAAGAAACGGAACACGGAGCGGACGACGATAATGTGGGAGGGTTCGAGGTGTAGAACATCGTGGATGGGGTCTTGGGATGCATCTTATGAGGGAAGTCCGTTGAAGTTGCAGCGGTGGCCAGGGCTGCCGCAGCTGCCATCACTCCCGGCAGTCTGGCAGCAGATGCTGCAGCCATCATCAGAGCGCTGACAAATCCGCACCCTGCTTCAGATTTCCAAATTCACGCCACCCCAACAGGATGGATAGGAACAGGAACAGGCGAAAGGATCGGGCACCAAGAATGCAACAGATGCAGAGAATTGATTCACGCCCAAATCTCGCTTTCACCGAGAATTCAACAGCCCAGCCGCGGCAAATCGCAATCTACACACTCCCCTGGCACATCGCATTTACGAAATGTCTCCCGAGCGCATGTAGAAGCATGGGCAAGCACGACCGGCCGCACCAGAAGCCCCGAATTCTCCCGTCTTTGTAGCCCTGTTCACGCCAGAGGGAACTGTCGAAATCCTCGTCGTCGTCGTCCCCTTTTCTCCACCACCAATATTTCTTTCTGACTCTCGTTTCGCGTCGTCGGAACGCCAAAACCTAATATTTTTGGGTCACCAATCGTATGCAGATCGGTACTCATCAATCGGTCGAAAGCAAAATGTCTGTGAGCAATAGATCACCCACCCACCGGCGACAGGGTTCGCCGATGGGGGAAGTAGAGCGAGTGCGAAAGATCGATGGGCGGGACCTGCGCCTGAGGACAGAACTAAACTCGGGCCGGACGAGATGGATGGATGGTTGGGTTCGAGCACGAGCAGCAAGGACCGACCCTTCCGCTTTCTCTTTGTTGGGACGGGATCCTCCTCAAGAGTCAAGTCCAGTCCACAAGAAAGCACATGGCGAATCTGCTCGACGATTCCTTTGCGCGCAAGCGCGCCACGTCTTTCAAGTGGAGGGGCGGCTGGACCTTGGCTCCCCGCGGGCTCGGGCCGGCCCGACCGCGCAGTGGTCCTCGAACCTCCCCGTGGCACGCGTCGAGGTCTTTCTGGTGCCGTGACGGCACCCGTCCCTTCCCGTCCCTTTCCTCACTTTCTAGAACATCTGCCCTCCCCTTCCTCCGCTCCTGCCTCTTCTTTCCCGCGACTCTTTCTTTTTCTGTAACTCATCTCTTCGTCGGAATGGGGATATTCCACCCGGGGTACCTCCACTCTCTATATCTGTCCCTCGCATGTCCAATGCCCAGTGCCGTGTATATCCTATTCTGCTATTATTGCCTTGTAGTTTGCTTTTTCTCTCCCTTAACATATATACCATGTGGATCCGATATGATCTAACTCCACTTTAATGTTCGATAATCTACTCCACTCCGTCTTTTTCCAAAATCTTTCCATGGGGTCTTCATCTTAAGAGGTGCCCAAATGACGGGCCAAAATATGAAATGGATGAATGGCTATTAGTTTGTTCTTGCAAGAATAAAATAATATTTGAAGATTACGCATGTCCTTGTGTGAAAGAACCAAGTAGCTGGTTGCTTGCATGTTACATTCTAACCTGAATTTGTTTTCTCGTTGGAAAAAATTCACTCAAAGTCTCGATCTTGATCTTGATCTGGTTGCTCCACTCAGTGCCACTCAACTTAGAAAACATTGCCACCATCCAATTCACCCGACAGCTTATGGAGAAATCGAGCCATTGCACATAGAAACTTACGATGGTGTATTGGACGCTGCTCGTACGAGGCCTCAATTGCGACCCCTCACGAGCCTCAAAGCGTGCATGGGACAAAATTGGGGATAACAATGACTGCACAATCAATCACTTGTTTAAGGCAGATAGTCCTTGAACTTTATTTCATCACATCTTTTGTTGGAGTGAGGTCAGCGCAGCTGTTATAAGGATATCAACTGACCTTGCACGAGGTATTCCCCGTTGTGGCTAGGTGGGATGATTCGGAGCCCTAGCGCTTATCATCAAGCTCTTCTATAGCTGCAAAAAAGAAAATAAGCGTTGACTAGCATTCTTAGGGCAGCAGAAAATCACTTCGAATCGGAAACTGAATGCTCATAGGCAAGGTATAACCAAATTGTGAAGTTTGTCGCACTTTCGAACAGAACAAAAACGGTTTGAGCATCATAATGACGCTCGAGAGTTTCAAGTCCAGAGACCCAGTCCAGGTATCCAACTTCTTGCACATGGTGGTATCATTTTTAGCGAACTATTCTGTCACGAAGAAAGGTCTCATGAGGAGCGGTGAACAAAACTTACACAGCACTAGGCAAGAGCTGTAAATTGAAAGAAGCATGACCATGCCATGGCCATTTTGCATTTGAAATCGCCTGCAAGAAGTTCATTAGCACTTTTTGTTTTCCACTTGGAATGTGGAAATATAAATCAGTGGATCTAGTAGGGAGTTAGCAATTAGGATCAGAGCCCAACATTGGGTGCCCATACCCGTTTTGGGTGACATTATTTTCCATGGGTGGGCACAAATAATGCCAAGGGCAGTATTTGTCAAGATCCAACCGAGAATTGGCGTAATTTGCATAGCATGGGTGGGCACAGGTAATGCTGTAAATGAGCATGGGTGGGCTTAGGTCGCTGCTGATGGTTGTGGTTTCGTCTGGGTGCAGATTTGAAGTAAAATGTTGGCCTCTGGTAGTTAGGGTATGTGCTGCGAGAAGTGATGCATTTTCCGATGTACTACTGCTGGAGTGTTCTTTGGAGCTGGTCTTTATACACCTGATTGAGGTGTGTCGCCTCGAATTCATTACTCAGACATGTCGTTAACTATGTTCAGGATAACAGTTTATTGAAAACATATCACGCTTAGATTGCGAGCTGATGAGTTGTTATAAATCATATCTGGGAAACGCTCCATGTTTCATCATTAGGCAATGCAGTGATCTTACCTTAAATATTATAAGATAATTGATATTATTTCATCTGTTTCAAGACCGGAGGATATCCGCCTCCAGCCCTTGAAGTCAGCTCAAAGATGATGATCGGTAGTCTTGCCAAGAGTTCCCGCCGACTGATGCAACAGAATTTAGCTTCTCCGAGAGCATCTTCTGTGTAGCTTCAGAACGCTCGTAGTGCCCCAAACCGAGTAGTGTTATGAGTTGTTGCTTATAATCCAAATGTAAGCAGCCATGATTTGAGCAGACCACTAGAATTGGTATTCTTCGATTAGAAAAGGCCGACTTGGAGAACATCTTCTTGTCTACCGTTGTAGCAGCTCATCTTCTTGTGTGGTCGGACATTGACTATTCAGCACTTAAATGAACAAGATGTCCAAGTTTGAATCGACTCTTTTGATTATAGAAATGATTTATCATGGATTACTTCAAGCACTTCTCTATTATTTGTGATTGGAACATCATATTGCACAAAGAACGCAAACACGATGCATGTGAATTTCAATCACAGATGCAGATAAGTGCTATAATGTGAAACAAGTTAAGCAAGATTGATCACGGCTAACTCCTGGTTGTACGGAGCTCTTGAGAGAGTATAGGTGTTACGTATCAACTTTTTGCCAATTAGGAATGTAACTGAATCGACTAGTCTCCGGCTTTTGACACCAAGAACATGGACTCTAAAGTTGTGCATGTTCTCATGATCGAGATGTCGAGAGGTACACCTGGAGCCAAGATAGCCCTTGCAAGTTCACTTCAGGCTATTGACAAAATCTTCCAATTGTTATACATCTGGAGGCGAGATATCACTGGGTACTCTCAGGAACTATATTCCACGGACTGGCCTTTCACAGTGGGAAATCGGCACCCAGCCGAACCTTTTACATCCCGGACCCCAATTTCTCAACTACAGCAATCTGTACGTGGATTCCGAAATGCTTGTTCAGCCGTTGTTTTTCCTTCTTCTGAGCTTGTGGCACTGTGGAGCTTATCTGATGACCTTGGATGCTTCTTTGGTATACTTTGGAAGTTTCATTTCAAATATAAATCATGAGCGGAATTTGTACGCTAGAAAATGCTAGATATTATAAAGGTATGTCGTTCAGACATATTTCACGATCTCTCATACGTAGGTTACAGTTGGCATTTGCCGTTGTTGAACGTGTCTCCTTTGTTATTTGCTTGCGCACACCTTCCGAATCCTTTCAGATTGATTAGAGAGTTTACTCGGGGTTCCAGTTGACAGTATAACTTTTGATCTTGCAAAATTTAGTTTCACACTGAATCCAGTTAGCTCAGACTTGCACACTATTGAACTCATTGTTCCATTTGAATTCTTCAATCTTAGAAAGAATCCGTACGCTTATTGAAGAATTTAGTCTCAATTTGTAATGGTGATAGAAACGTACTCCTGACTTGATCAGCTGAGCAGGTCAGGAGTACGATGTTGGTCACATAAACGTGCACAATGACAAGACGTTTGTCAGAAGAGTCGACTGTAACAGTTATTGATCAAGCTGTGTCCTAGCCAAGAGCTTGGCAAGACGTTTGTCAGAAGAGTCGACTGTAACAGTTATTGATCAAGCTGTGTTCTAGCCAAGAGCTTGGGAAGACGAGCTACTTCAAAAGCATTCGTGGGATTCGTTCACGTGGCTTCTTACATTTTCTTATGGTTCTTCCAGTAAAGGCTCATGGCAACCCAACGCGGTCAAGCACTCCTGGAGGTTCTTGGCACGATGTTTCTCTTTAAAGATCTTCGACCTGGAGAACATCTCCAGGGCGAAGATGTTTTACCTCGAAATTTGGAGAGGTTACACATTGTTCTCCTTCTATACGTTTACGGTTTCAGTCACTGTCTTCATGAGCTTTTTTTGGGTACTACATCATGGATCCATCTACTTCCAGAACTCATGTGTTCCTGATGGCCATGAGGCCTCTACCACAGCCTTTTCGGTTCTAGTCTTGTACCATCGAATTGACATATTGCAAGTATATCTAGAGATATCAATACAATCTAACAATTTACTCGTACTTGCGCTGCTCCCGCTTGTCCAGCTCGGCCAGTTTGACAAAATCTTGATGCTCCTTAGCTTCCTTGGCCAGATGAAAAACAATCATTTTCTTGAGAAGAATAAATCTCAGAATGAATCAAGCATTGCTGGGCATTTTTTTGATCGAAACGGACCCTGAAGCTCGTACCCTTGGTCGTCAGCCACTCGCCGTTCACAAGAGCAGAGTACATGGATCTCCATTGAGGTCCCTTCCTGTCCCAGTTTTTCACTCTCAAAGTTCCACTCAAGGTCGTGAGTGGAACTTTGAGACCAGTTGTCAACTTACATATACTTGGACAATTTATATGGTATCAGATGGCCAATCTGATTGTAATCTAATTAGATGAAATAAATATAATAATATGCTCTGATCGCACTATATATAACTGTTGAATGCAGTATGTAGTTTCACAAATTTAAAGATATTAGGTCAGTTATGAAACTTCCAGCACATGATTAATGAATACTGGTTGAGAGGTATAGAGCTGCAGTCTATGGCAAATGGAAAGACACTTTGTTTGACTTGTATGTATGATATCATTTTTTCCACACAATTGATGTATTGCAATTGCAATATATCAATGCAGTATTGCAATTGCAATACTGCATAACAAGCTGGCTATGGTACTATATTTCCACCTTTCAGGATAAGGGTCGATATATCTGGGCCAAAGATATATTAACCCTTATCGTTGCAGTTTGGACCTTGTATGTAATCAGTTTAATGGAAAGGATTCCTTCAAAATATTTTTCTTCTAAGATCTTCACATTCCTACTGCATCAGATTTGACCTCACATCTTTTCATTCCATTTATGTCTAGAAAGGCAATGTTATAAGAAGTTATATTGCATGCAAACTTCTGAAGAACTGCTTGAATGTCCGTAATGCATGCAACCCTTAGATCCAGCGCATTGAAGAGCTAAAATGCATATGGTGTACAGCAGCATATTATGGCACATTGCGTGATTAGAAA